ATGGGGAATCAAACCCACATTTTCTAATTAAGATTTTTCTTGGGGATATTTTTTCCGGGGTTTTTTTCTGGGGATTTTTTTTTCGGGGATATTTTTTGCGGAGATATTTTTCCCAGAATTTTTTTCCGGCGTATTTTTTCCGGGATGAAGATGAATATTTGAACAAGATTTTGTGATATTTTCGTTAAAGAATTCGAAAAACTCAGCCATTGAAACGTAATTTTTAGTGAGCCCTTCGACAAAAGGTGTTCTCGTGTTATCAGAATTCATGACAGGATCATTCGAAATTACAAAAAAAATTGCGGTTGGTAGGTAACACCATGAACTAGTTACTCAACGAAGTAAAAAATAAAAATTAAATAATTAGATTTTTGGCAGACCTTTTGATGAAAAATTACTAATTTCGATAAAACTTCTACTACATTGTCCAGCTCAAAAAATGGTAGTAATAAAAAAAAAATCCTCCTTTCAAAAATTGGATAATAGTACCTCGAAGATGTGTGTGAAAATTCATCAAGAGCTTTAAAAATTTATATATTTTTAAAAGGACTAAAAAAAATACCGTTTCGAGAAAAAGGGAGAAACTGAAAAATGGCGAAGCCGATGTGATTTTGGGAGTGAAATTTCCCAAGGCCCTATCTCCAAAACTTGTACTCCAATCGATTTGGAATTTTAGGGTAATATTCTAGACATGTACTAATTAATAAGATGATTAATAGAATTCCATTTTTTGAGTCTCCCCAGCTGATGCAACCCCTTAAACCGAATTCACTCTATGAACGAGGCTTTAATTAAATTGTCTGTTAGTTTTTTTTTAACCTTTGCACCCTTTTCTTCAACCTGGCATTATCAGAGTATCTGACTAAACAAATTTCAGACAAAAAATTAATTATGGCTCACATATTCAACGATATTTCTCGAGCAGGAATCGCGTTATTTGAATTGATGTTTCGCTGCTGATTTTTTTCCCTGAGTCGTTCCCATTATTTTTCCACGAAAGAACAAAGTCGAATTGCGAATTATCGGGAGCGATGGAATGCAGACAAATTAGGAGATATCCAAGGAGATTCCACCGCTATTTATAGCCCGATATTAACCGCACGATTCACAAACTTTCCACGACAGACTTGGTAGTTTCAATCATCGGAAAAACGTTGAAACCCTCCGATCTCCAGACATGCAAATTTGACCTTGTGCACAAAAATTTAATAACAGAATAATATGAGCACAAAAAATTCTGTATTAAAAAAAGATCATAAAATAATGAATATAAATGGAGGTGAAATTCGAGGTAAAAAATAAAATTAAAAAAAAAGGTTGTCTCCACATGTACAGTAGTCTCAGCAAAAAAAATTCAAATCATCTCGGGTAAAAACATCCTACGTAATGACCTCAGGTGCCAGAACTCGTATTTTCAAAAAAAAAAAAAAAAACTGGAAGTAAAAATACTTTTCAATTGTTGCCTCAATAAAAATGGGAACTCTTCATTGAGACTATTGGAATGTCATAAATAAAAACATTGAATTAAACCCACTCTCACCGGTTATTCAAAATGTTAATGAAATTATTGTTTAAAAACGTTAAAAATTCATTTTAAATCTTTCAACATCAATTTATGATAAAATTATGATAATTCCCGTAGTCACAAAATCAATTAATATGATTTTAATTTAATGTTGAAGAATAACGACTTTTTAATTATTGTATTATCTTGCAAATTCGACTGCAATAAAACAAATTACAACAATAACAACAATACAATAGGAGAATATAAAATAAATAACTCTTGGATATCCCATTCTAAAAGGGACATGCTTGATACAATCGATTATCTCGAAAATCTCGAAATCATGTAGCCACGATTCCTTATTGGTCGGCTTGAAGTGGCGCGAGATTACAAAGTCATAACTTTCTGACCGAAATCGTTTCATTCTTCCTATTCTAAAAGTCCTATTCTAAAAGGGACACGCTTGATACAATCGATTATCTCGAAAATCTCGAAAATCTCGAAATCATGAAGCCACGATTACTTATTGGTCCACCTAAAGTGGCGCGACATTACAAAGTCATAACTTTCTTACCTAAATCGTTCTATTCTCCCTATTCTAAAAGTGACACGCTTCACACAATCGATTATCTCGAAAATCTCGAAATCATAAAGCCACGATTCCTTATTGGTCCCCTAAAGTGGCGCGAGATTACAAAGTAGTACCTCTTTTACAGAAATCGTTTCATAACCGCGCGCTGGCGCGCATTACGGTCTCGTCATAAAAACTCACCATCTCCATCGTTGTAAGCACTTCTGGCTAGTGTCTTGGAGCTGGTGTAGAGCAAGGGCATTGCGATGACGAGTAAACCAGTGCCTGACCAGACGTACTTCATGAGCAATTGCTCCAGCATAACGTACCAGAGCTTGAGGGCCAGAACTTTCCTCAGGTGAATGACCAGAGCCCTGTAGGCAGTGCTGAGGTACCTGTGCTCTGTATTATGTCCCCCATAAAAAGCGATTTCCTCTGCGTGAGCACTGATCCTAGCATGAGCCTCTCGTAGTCTTCCTCTTCTTGTCGCCTCTTCTGCTACGAGTTGACCAAATCTGGGAGATGCCAGACGCAGCACTTGACCGGTTATTGCTATTACACCAGCTGCTAGTAATGGTCCTGATAAACAAATTAAAGTCAATGGTTAATTTTTTTTTATTCACTTGATCAATTCGTTATGGGGAATTTGGACTTTCAAAAATTGAAGATTTACTGATGCCATTTTGGCTGCTGGAAGGGGTAGGTACATACTATATTTATTTTACTATACTATACTATATATTACTATACTATACTATATATTTTTTATAAATTCTATAATTTCTTCCATTAAATTTGCCAAAGTTAAATATATTTTCTCTCTTTATATATCATATACTCCAGTTGAATTTCCAAAATTATTCAATTTTCAGTTTTTTTTTCAAAAATAAAAAATTATTTTTTTTTTCAAAAATCATTTTTTTTTTTCAAAAATCAAAAAAATTTTTTTTTTCAAGAATCAAAAAATTTTTTTTTTCAAAAATCAAAAGATTATTTTTTTTCAAAAATCACAAAATTATTTTTTTTTTCAAAAATCAAAAAATTATTTTTTTTTTCAAAAATCAAAAAATTATTTTTTTTTCAAAAACCAAAAATTGAATTTTTTTTTCAAAAATAAAAAATTAAGAACTTCCCTTTTACGATTCAATGATGCGGTTGGCGCCAAAATGATCAAAAAATATAGTATTTTGAGTAGTGAAAATTCAATAGAAATTAAAACTTGAACTTTTTTGGTTCTCAAAGTGTCGCAATGATGATTAATTAAAAGATTGTCATATTTTTCAAATTCTTCACCTGAAAACTGACTTTTTTGTCTTTAAACTTATTTGTGCACCTCATCACCGGCCGCCGTGAATAAAATCTCAAAAAAAAGCTTAAAATTCGATTAGAGCAAAACGACTCATTAAAAATCAAAATGAAAAAATACAGAATGTTATATTAACGCGGTGAATAAATAAACAAATTTGCAAACAAATAAAAAGCCCTGAGGGTTGCAATATCACGAGTCGACATGAAATGCTCCACATATTCCAAAATATCAAAGAAAAAATCAGAATTATCTAAGAACGATCTAATATCGATGCTTCAAATCAACATGACACCGATTAGATTCAATGACATGCAAAGTAGCTAGCACTGGACTATGGCAAAACAAAAAAACTTGCCACAGCAGTATAAATATTTATTTGACTTCACCTGGTATTGTCCTAGCCCCCATCCTATGCGAGAAAGAAACAAGAGCAATTCCAACAAGTGCACAATCAAGGAGTGGTTTAGTAAGACTGGAGTAAAGATGAGCCATGGATGAAGCTAATTCGGATAAATCATCAGTGAGTCTTTGTTCAGCACCACCAAGTCTATTATCTAAAGCCGAGACCCGGTAATAAGTCTGTTGAGACAAGTACATCCTGTAGGCATACTGAACAAGCCTCTCCCTGTAATTCAACAAATCATCAGCAAATCCCTCTCATTATCCAAATAATAATCAAGAAAAGAGAAATAATGATCACCTAAAAGCGAGAGCAATTCGTCCCTCCAGATATCTAATGGCAGAATTAACGAATGTCGCTGGAAAAGCAATAGCGAACCACCTGGCAAGCATTTTGGTGAAGCCCTTGACATCTTTGAGGACAATCCTCTTGACGATCTGTCCCTCGAGTGTTGCTACGTAAACCGATAGAAATGTTCTAGCTAGGAGTGTAATTGTTGCTGCTGTGAGGAGTCCAGCCTCTTTGGAACGCCATCCTGGTACCATGATCTTGAGAAGCTCCAGGAGTTGCTTGACAAATGCTCTATCGAGTCCCACGTTGGGGACTCTCTTGGTTGGAGATAGACCAACGGTTTTTCCATTCTTCTGGTGAGTTTTACCGAGGTCTCTCGTTGTCTTTAGCTTCTTGGTGATCCCAACAAGGTGTGGATACGTCAGCTTGACAAGATAAAGTGCTGTCACTGTTCCAACAACAGCTCTAGTTAACGTTTCCTGTCTGACGCCGTATTTCGATGACGTCTTGTCGATCAACTTTGAAAATATCGACGACATTGTGAAGAACTTTATTCACAACACCATTACTCTAGATGTTCTCCACTGAAGACAACTCCAAGCACTTCATGACTCATTGGCTCGTTTTCTTTTTGGGGAATTTTTTAAATTATCAACATTCGGATTAATTGAATTTCATTGGAGCTTACGTTACACTCGAAACGACAACCAGCTGGCAACTGCTTGGTACCTCTTTGCTATCTCTATTTCTCTCCGTTCTCTTCTCCTACTACTGCGAAAAACTGATACAAATGCACGGTACCACACAGAAAGTCTACAAACACCAGTTGCCCGACAATCTCTTTTGATTTATCAGTGTGGCTGGGTGATTGTGTGAGTTATTCTCGGTGAGAATGATTCAACTGGAACTTGGACTCACTGTGGAATCATCTGCCATTCGTATGACAGATCGCCAGGTCTTATCGCTTTGTTCCTCGCTTTTTTCTTGCCATTGCATTTTTGAGCATTTTAGTTTATTATCGTTCGCCGGGGATTTTGCATTCCAAATCACTGTACCATTTTATCTTCCATATACATTGGATTTTATTCTTTTTATATTTCTTTATTATTTCAAAAATTCACATTCTTTCCATTTAATTCATTAATTTCATTCCCAATTCTACGATTTTTTTATTTTATTTTAGATTATAATTTTATTTTGTTTATCTCTTTAATATATAAACGCTAATATGAAAAAATTATTATCATTATTATTATTACTCATTAAAAATTCGTTAATCAATACAATCAACAAAAATTCTAAAATGTATGAACAATAATAAATTAAAAAAAAATATTACATTTCAAGTATGTAAAAATGTAAACAGATAAACAAAATAAAATTTTGTTTTTTTTTCCTTCAATTTCTTCGTTTAATAATCTCTTGTCTTCTTAATAATATATATTTTATGATTCCTTATTTTTTGAAAAAAAATTCAAATTTTTTCCATTTAATTAATTAATTTCATTCCGAATTCTGCGATTTTGAAATTTTATTTTAGATTATAATTTCATTTTGTTTATCTGTTTACATTTTTACATCTTTAAAATGTAATATATTTTTTTAATTTATGATTATTGTTCATACATTTTAGAATTTTTGTTGATTGTATTTAGTAACGAATTTTTAATTAATAATAATAATAATAACAATAATAATATTTTTTTTTCGTATTAGCGTTTATATAATTTTAAGTTCAAAGAAAGCAACAGTTTGTAGTTTTTATTTTTAATTATAATAGTTTTATCTAATTTATATTTCGTTATTGCACTTTTTCTTCTCTTCAATTTAATACTTCAATATTTTCACCTTTTAAAACACTGACCATTAATTTCACCACTGCAATTACATTTTATGATCTTTCCATTTTTCAAAGTTTTATTTATCCTCCATTATTGACCATGTATATATTCTTTCTAAATTTCACTTTCTCAATAATTTTATCACCTAAAAGTGAAGTTAACAATATTTTTCTATTTTTTCTAGTGAAGTCATCAATTTCCAACAGCAAAATGGAAGAAATACAATTACAACTAATTAATTGGTATTTAACCGGGCAGGTACGAGTTTTTTGCGGAGTTTTTCGTTTTTCTTTGAGTATTTTTTCTGATGACTGTTCGGATGTGATGACTCCATGAGGGATAATAGGAATAAGAACGACTTTCCAGAGGGAAAGTGTATTCTCGGTGGTGTGTGAGCTTCTTTAAAGTGTTTGGACAATTTCGCGCGGTTCGGCGTGAAAGTAAAAGTAGCTCATTCGCGCAATCGGAGAGACAAAAAAATTCACAGTAAAGAGATACTCACCCAAACTCGCTTTCGTATGAGGCACTTACCTTTTTATTTTTAAACATCCACAGTATTATTCCATTCCGCTGAAATCCTTTTGTGCACTATCATCCAATTTAAATCCCTCAAAATTCATTCATTAAATCGTAAATACTGCGATAATTAGAAATTATAATAAAATGAATGCAGATTTTGATGGTAGAACTCCACGCGAATTTTATTCAATTTTTGGTATTAAAAAAAATAATTGAAAATTACAGATAGCGTTTTTTCTATTCAAGTTGTATTGAAAAATTATTTTGTTTTTCAATTTTTACTGAAACGGAGAGAGACTCAGAAATTTTATTAGGACCTTTTTTGTAGCTCTTGTTCCGCTCTACAGAAAAGGTTCTTAGGAAAATTGCGGTATTTCTTTTAGATTCAGAGATATTCACGGAAGAGTGGAGTGAAGAGTGAGCCAACTAGTTACACTTGACCTTTTTAGTGTTGTTTTGTTAGTAAAAAAATTGTAATTGTTTTTCGTGGTACTCCTCTAGTCGATTATGCAAACTATTTCATCATTCCGGGAGATATACATCAAAAAGAAAAACCTTGAGGAAGCAGTTTTCATGTTTCTGTAAAAATTCTTGGACGTAAACTCATCCAGTTTTCTCCTTTTATTCATTTTTATTCTTCCCTTTTTTATTGTTCCTTATTATTAGGGCATAAAATTTCTTGCTGCGTCGCTGGAGAACAGCTGAGGCACTTCCTCGCTTCGGACTTTTTCCAAGCTTTGTTTTCTGGATTTTATTACGAAAAAACCGTTAAATTTTTTCTGTACGTGCGAGAGAATTGCTGAAGAATTTCTCGACTTCAACGACAAAAAATAACTAGATCCATCCAAAAATTAAAAATTTACGAACAATTCCTTATAAATCATCAAACCATAACTACCGAATTTCGAATTCACCAGACAAACGAATGAAATCGATTAATTCAGCGGAATTTCACCCAAAATTCGTGAATTTTTTAATGAATTTTTTTATCACGACGTCTTATCAGTCGGGGGAAGAAGAATGATAAGTCCGGTCCAAATACGCAGGTAACAATTGTATAACAGTCATTGATGAAACAAATTTTACTAGGGGACCTCCGGACAAAATGGAACACTTGCGTAAAAACGTTTTTAACTCATACCCAGTAATTTCTGTTTCTTTCGCCAAAAAATGCTGGAGACAGTCTAAAAGTCTCCCAGTGCTTTTTCGTTCGCTAATTTAATTCCTTCCTTTAATTATCTGTTGTCTTCTTAGTAACAAAATTCTGAAAAAAACTGAAATACTGACTAATGGATTGTTACCATTGATTTTTTCTCTTCGTCTCATTGAGTTTTCTCATTCATCCCATTTTATCCGCATTCCATTTTGTGTTTTCCATTCCTGTGTCCCTTTTTGTCGGGTCTACATTTTATTAAACTAGTTCGAGGCGCTAACTACTTTGTGTTTAATTGATTCTAATCAGTTTAATGCTGATTTAACAATTCAATACTAGACATTTTTTCTACAATCCTTCTTTCCTCTTCCCTGTTTTGAACCATACATTCGATGAGTCCACAAGAAAATGAAATACATGAAAATTTATGAGGATGATAAATGTTATTATGGATTTTATTTACACGGAATAATTATTTTCAAAACATGACCCACGATATTCGACACATTATCATCAATAACTCTTGGTCAAATTGATGGAATCCAAAGAATATAATGGAATCATTAAGAGGTTATTGCGAACTTCAGATTGTTATACAATATCCTTATCATGAAAGCAGAGATAGGTGAATGAAGTTCGCCTGAGTCGAAACTCGTAAGGCTGATTCCCTATTGGTTAACTCGAATCCGAAGTCAAAATTCAAATTCGGCGCACGGAGTGCGCAGTAGATCTCGTATCTTCATAAATGACAGTTAAGGTGGTTGTCGCGCTACAGTCTCTGTAAAAAGTTTATCCGCTGTAAAACGGGCCAGTTTAGAACACAATCTTTTAGCGGTATATAGTCTCACTTGATTGATTGCATTGTGCATGGATAGCTAAAGCATAACTATATATTTTCCATATTAACTATTTTCAATTATATAAATTTATGAATTTCCGATAATTATATTCCGTAAACCAAACGGTCAATCGATTTGATTTTTTTTTTCTGTATTTCCTCCTACGATGTATATTCCACGTTTTTTTTTATTTCTGAAACTGTCGAGCCGTTGATTTCTAAAAAATTCTAATCGGCAAAACTTCATTTAAACACGTGTTAAATCACTCGAATTTCAAAAATTTATATCTCAAGTTCAAAACGGTCAATTGCAAACGGAAAAGGCTCATTTTGTTGCTAATTTTTCAAACTATTCACCATAAAATTGTTAACGAAAACTGTCGAAAAAAAATTCTACGCGACAACAACCTTAATACGATAATTAGCAATAAATTTGAATTCTAGAACGTGTCATAGCGCTGAAAAAAGCTAAAAATTTGAATAGCTCTACGAAAAAGCAACTAAATCAGACACAACTGATGCCATTGCGAAGAGAAGAAAATATTCTTTAAGATGGTATATAAATATACCTATTTGTCTTTTTTGGTAATGGAGAGACGTTCAAACAAAATTTAAATTTAGGTAAAGTAACTTATTACTTACTACTTACTAATTTAGGTAAAGTAAAGGATTTTTTAAGAGTTTATTTGATGAGCTCTTTCAAATGAGTAGAGAATAGATCACCTCAACACCAAAGGAAGAGGGGAATTATTCTGAGAACCGAAGAGATAGCGAGTGTCAAGTACACGGATTATTTAATCAGGTACTAGGCAGAGGAGCCCTTTGGGGGTCCAGGCAAATTTGGTCTAACATATGTGTTCTTTCGATCCAAAACACTTTCCATATAAAAATGTGTGCTTTTGTCGTGTGATTAACGGCCAAGTAATTTTAAGCGCTTTAAGTTTGTGCATTTCCAAAAAAAAAAAATTTTAATTACCCCCAAAAATGGTTTTTTGTGAATAACTTGAAAACTACGCTAGATATGAAGAAAATGGTCGAATAATAACTTGAAGATCGAAAAATTCTGCATAAAAAATATATTTGGCATTTCATCCCTATTTCTTACCGTTTAACCCCTACAGCCATTCAAATCCTTCTTTCTTTCTTTGTTCTTGTAAATGGTCAATATTTTAATTTCTACGAATATTCTATACAATAATTTATGCAAAATTATTAACCATCGTTGTCATTAGTGTTAAATAATGTTGAATTTCTGTTTGAAATGATACCAGGCAAAAATGAATTTTATATTTTTCACTCTATATTTGTATTCAATAGTGACGAATGTAAGGGACTAAATATTTAACGATTATTTTAATTAATTAATCCGATCTTCCATTTATTGTTAACAATTAAACTTTGGTTTAAAGACTCGATATAATATAAGCTGGGTTGATTGTGGTAAATTTAATGTTGCTTGCTCGAGAGTTCGTCTCCAAGTGTCCTCAGTCACCAAATCGTCCAGGGTGTCAGGTCTACCCATTAGACAAGGCCCTTTGTCTATGGGGTTGGTCCACGTGTTGGGCTGTTTCGTATAAACAGCCTAAATGTTTCCATTATTCCCTCTGATCTGTCACAACAGGTCTCTTGTTCGTTTTAACATCGAAAATATTTCCAACACGAACATTTTTATTGACTGGAATTCTGATAAGTATGAACGATGATGGTTACGTTTTCTCTTTTAGCCCAAACAGACTCGAATGAATGATATCTTATATCACAACGTCACTTGAGGTCCAGGGTGCTGGATCCCTTTGTTAATTTAGTTAATTTTGCTATGGCATCGATGAGGTTAAGACATGTCTTCCGAGCGACTAAAGAAAAGTCTTTCATTCATGTTAATTTTGTGGTTACGTTATTAAATGTAAGAAGTAAAATTCTAAAGGGGTTTGAGAGTATATTTCAAAACACTCCACCTCAGTAAAATATCCTCTTCTATAATTTATACTGGTAAAAGTAACGGAGAGTTGGTTAACAATATATAAAATCAAGACAAACGCAAACAGAAATATATATCTCAGTTAATATTGGTTAAAGTAGCTGGATGTGCTCTCGGCCGAGGTGCTAGGCGAACTGCTCTCATCTCCACTTCCTAGTGGAGAAAAACTCCAACACATCATTCGTCATTCGGCATTTGTTTATTGTAAACAATAGCAGGCAAATGTCGCTCAGATCCAAAATTGTTTCTCGGAAGGTTTATACTAAGGCGCTGGTGGTCACCACACAGTCTTTGTCCCAAGTCCAATGAGTGTCCTATAACGCTTCGAGAATTTTTCCCCACATAAATTATCCCGTAATTAAAAAAAATAATTATATGCATTCAGAAGTAATATTTGTTGTTCGTCAATTTTTCTATTGTAAATCGACTGCATACGATACGATATAATTTCGTCATATGAACATTATTTCTTTCTTCTGCACGGAGAAAAATATTTTGTAAAGATCAACGGGAAGGATTGTTAAAACTTAATAGGTATTTGTTGATATTGAAAAACTAATGTTGAATTTCCACGACTGATTCATTGGTTTACAAATTTTTCGGCCTAGAAAAAGGAATAGTTCAGGGTGTGTGCAGGATACGTGCAGGTGGCAGAACTTTTCATAGATTGACTTTTTCCAGGATAAAATTTTCCTAAAACCACATGCACCTATTTTCTATGAATTTTCATTGAATTTTTTCCTCTGTAATTGCAGGAAGTGGGCAGTCGTCCCAGGAACACGCGATGCCCCTGAAATTGCAATGCTCTTTAGAGAACTCATGGATTCATAATAATAATAACAATAATCAGAGGTTTGAAAAAACTAAAAAGAAAACCCAAAATCTTTGGCAAATATCTTAAATTTATGTACCGACATACAACAATATTTTCATCGAAAAAGAAACACTCGAGTCGTTGAGGTGAGATAATTACCCTCGTAAAACGATAAAAGTACCACAAAAGGACATGAATATCTTGTAATCAAGCACTTGTTTGTTCATTCATGGAATTTTTTGCACCTCTCCGATGGAAATTCTCACTTAGCACTTGTTTACGAAATCGTTAATAATTTTCTTTGAAGCCTGACAGATGGATTAAACAACGATTCCCCGAAGTGCGATTGTAGTCTGACCTTTGGAGGAATAAAAATCATCTCCAAAGAGATTGATGATTGAATTGTTGCTGGATAAAAAAATATGAAAAAATAATTGTCTCTTGGATTTAGCAAACTTTCTTAGCAGACGTAATGACTTTCACTGGAGTCCGTCGAGAACATATCGTAAAAATTGATATGAGCGCCGATCTTTCGCGTCGTAGTCTCGTCAGGAGGTCATTCTGGAGGGCAATGCCTCGAGGATTCGTGGAGGTATTTTCTTGGATTGGCTGGAGGTGATGGACCTGCTGGCGGTGTCCTGGACCAGCCAGGAATTGAAAGAACCTATTGGACGTCCCATTACATGGCTGGGAATTTTTCCTGGTGCCTCCACTGCTGGAGCACTTGACTGAAGATTCAGGGCATTCAGCTGCAGATAATTGTTGGAGTCGTCTGAACCACCGGATTTACTCAGTCTCCCATTTGCTTCTAGAACATAGGCAGACAAAATCATCAACTTATATTCCTTAATAAAAAAACTCACGTAACATTTCGTGCCGCTGTTTTATTCTGCTAAAGTATCATATATTATAATAATACCGTTTCAAAGAAATTAAATATGATGATATAATCCATGTAATATATTATACATGGGTGAGTCCACGGAAATAGTGATTATCACGAAATTACTCTTTTCATTATCATTACAAGACAATACCTGGTACCAAGGGAGCAATCAGTACTGAATGACCAGATATTTCCTTGAACATTCTTGAAGACGAATAACTTTTCTGAATATGTCATTAACCAATCGGTGCTGCGATGTTCAAGAGTATTTATGTGAGTACCGTGTCTTAAATAATGCATTTATACATTTTCTCCACGATAACACACACCATACTCGGAATTGACATACGAAACGTGCCGTCACATGTTTCTTATTTATTTCATGGAAATTTAATAATTTTCTACTACCGTCCTCAAGAAATATCTCAAAACGTACTGTCAATGTCAGTACCGTGACTTTCTGAAAATGTTTTCTAGATGCAATACTGATTGACATAGGTACTTAAAAATTAGTACACTCGGAGAGTACATCAATATCTTTCTATCATATTCTACTAATTCGTCTGCGACCGCTCGGCTGAGGCTTGAGAAGCGCATCCGAATGGCCATTGTGGCTGACATAGATATTCCTATTTCTGTCGAATCACCCATATACTCTATATATATAACAAAAAAAAAAGAAAATAAAATAGACATCAAATATTGAATTTAAATTGAATTAAATATATATTTTTTATATACTAGCTATGCGCGCCAAATCGTCCACGTATGGGGTGTTATCATTGGAATATATATTTATTTATATATTTCCAATGTAATATATACATATATAGAATTTCAAAAAGAAAATAGAAAAAAGTCTAAAAATTTATATAAAAAAAATAATTTAAAATTTAATGAATTATATTAAATTCATATATTATATTACTATATAAATAATATATATTATATATATATATATCATATTATATAGATATATTTTGATATGCATAGCGCCAAAAAAAGCTGACAAAAAACGTTACATGCTTTTTTTTAAAAGGGAATGTATACTATATATTATAATCTCACACTTCTTAAGGGAACGCCTATACTTACTAAAAGACCAAAGACTATATATTATAAATATAATTGAAAAATTGAAAACTAAAAAGCCGAATTTTCAAATTATTTCTAAAAACAATTGCTAATTGAATTGAAGAAATTGAAGAGAATATTCACCAAATGTCTTGGCCTCTCTAGCTCTAGCAAGTAGTTCATCAATTCTATTTCTCTTGAAATAAGTGCCAACAATATCCTTTCTTTCGTTATGACTGATATCATCATCACTGCTCTTATCATCGCTGTTATTATTGTGATCTGGTTTTGATCTTGTGTCAAGGGGTGGTGGAGGTGGCAGTGGAATTCTTGATGATGTATCTGGCAATCTCCATCTAGCTAATTCATCGCACCAACTAGCTGCACCACGTACAGCGGCTAAATCACGGAGGGGACATCCAGGACGCAGATGTGGTACCATAGCTTCGGATATCTGCGTTGCCAGCAACTCTCGTCGTAAAAGTTCACGACGTTCCGCATCCCAGGATGCCTGAGGCCATTGCAAAATAACGGAACAACAGTCATTTCCTTTTACACGGATTTTGGTAACGGTATTTTGTCCTATTCCCATCCAATCACTCCGCATTTATCCAATTAATATTATAAATTACTATTATTTTCATTTCATTTTACTGGTAAATTAAACAATCCACGTGGAAAAATTTATATTTTTTAAAATATTTCTTCTTATATCATTCATTCAGTTTATATACCAAAATATATTTTGTGATATTTGTTTTTGTCAGTTTTTATTATATTTTTGAATGTGCAAATTTAATTATTAGTTTGATTGATCCAATTTTCTTTGTTTATGAATAATTTAAAAAAAGTATTTAATGAGTTATTTGAGAAATTATTAAATGAATCTTTGTCTTTATGAAATAAATAAAAGGAATTCTTCAAAGAATTCTAATTGTAAAATTCTATTTATTGATGACAAATGATTTGTAATTTATCCAATTAATAATGTAGATTATATAATTTTATTTATATAAAGATTAATAAATGAAATTCAAAGAATATTTCAATGAAAGATTTTCGAAAAATTTGCGTTCAAAATTTTAAAAAAATGATACTATTTTGTTTATAATTAAATGATGAAAAGAATTATTAAATCTGCTACTTAAATCGATTGAATAATGATATGTGTTAACAAAGGACTCTACACAATATTTAAATAAAATAATTAAGATTCGAGAAATGAAAACAAAACATCATTTGCATTAACAATGACACAAACAATAATTATCCATGAATATTTCGGCGAGTCATTGGAAGGGACTAGGAAGCGTCGGCAGATAATGAGATGGCGGAAATAATTCACTGGTAATGACACATGAAAAACCTCGAATTACGAATGAATTTTTTATCAACGTCCACTTCTTCATTACAAATAATTCCAATGTCATAGCATAATTGACGAAAAGATCGAAGAGGTTTTCTCCACGTGGTGAACACTCCGAAAATATCTCGAGGCTAAAATATTTTTGCAACTTCCCCTTTAATTCTCCAAACTGTCGTCAATTGAAAAAATTCATTCGCTTCATTAAATTATGAATAAATTACTGCATGTTTTCCGAAATGAGAAGATACAGAGAAAAAAACTCGTAATTCCAGTTTCATTCACGAGAAAAAAAAAAGCGCTGAATCATTGAAAAAAATTGAATAATTGGATTCATCTTCCATAAATTACGACATCATCGAATAAATATAATTCGAATGGATATTTGTTTTCCAGATTATAATTTTTCATTAATTTATGGTTGTCGAAATTATTCATTACTCATTGATTAATTAGTTTTTTTTAATCTAGTTATATAGACATAAGAAAAATTTATAAAAGTTCTGGTTATGATATTTAAACAAATTGGAAAATTAAACGATAAATATTCAATGGAATAAATATTTTTGTGTGTTTTAAAATAAATTAAATATAATTTATATAATATAATAATATAATATAATATTTATATAATAGTAATATGAATTGAAGATTAAAAAAAAAAATTCATATTAAATCAGAATCATAAAAATCTAAACGAAAAGTATAAAGATCGCTAAACGATTCATAATGATTTATTAATTATCTATTAATTATCATTTCTATCTGTATCATTTAATTATATGTTTACGCATCTTCTTCACATTCACTAAATTTTATAATTAATTCTCTCTAGTTTGTATAAACAAAAAAAAATCGTATTTATTATTCAATAAAGAAAAAGAGAAATTAGTAAAATTGAAATGCCGGTCGATAAATAATAATCTGTTGATTAAAACGATAAAAATATGAATACAGGATATGAAATAATGGAGAAAATTAATAAAATAAGAATTAAGTGAAATAGAATAAGATAATATTTTCCGTATCTATTTTTTATTTGGTAATCTATCAAGATGTGAGGATAATTAAAATTAAAATTAAATTGCACATCAATATATGTTACGTCCGCATGAAAAGGGCCCATTCTGGCAGTATTGACAGACTTACGTGATCAAACCATAATTTTAAGTTACATGCACGAAAAGAAATATATTCAATAAAAATTGCAGAAGTAACTGAGAAAATTTATGGGGCGGTGTTGTAATTTTTCACTGAAAATTCAGACAAAAATTACTGAAAGTTCTAGAAAAGTTCCGAATTAATTTCGTGGAATTTTCCTTAACGTTTTAGCTCCAGAATTACGAAAAATACGTAATGTGTGGGAAAAATTTAGACGCTCAATGAGGGCTGGTCAATAAACAGTTGAGGGCAATGAGGGCCTTATTTTACTCCACCCGACACCTCGGGGTTTTCATCTGGAAAACATTTGGGACACTGGCAATGCAGACTGTAGCCTGATTCATAAACAAAGAGAACTTGGGCCTAAGGTCCCCGAAACGGAAAATCCATCGGACAGTTCGAGTCTCAACCCGAATGAGATCACATCGCTCCGCACTAAATATTTTCTGACATATTATACTAAACCTTGTTATTAAAGTTTTTTAAAGTAATGTTTATTGTATTTCGATTGTTTAATATCGGTAATATTCTCACGAGGAGAATAAAAATATTATATCACTTTTAGAGAGTAGTTTTTATTCTCTACAATAATCAGTACTCAAAAACTTATCATGTAATAAACCCACATAAAACACATAATTCTCAAGTGCTACGTCCAAAGGACAAAGTGGGCCCTTTTTAATTTGTCATTAAATAAACGCAAATAATACTTCTAATGAAAATAGAATGATAAAATTTCCGGGATTCGTCGAGGAAGATTCTAAACTTTGTTCTGAAGTGGTACAAAAAATTGAAGAATCTGGAGCAAAATTAAAAAAACTGCGTTATCCCAAACAATAAAATGAGCAAAGTGGGCCCTTACCATGCGGATGTCCACACATGATATATTCTTTCATTATTGCAAAAAATATATCAATTTGAAAAATTTGAGGAATTTGAGGAATTTTGAAAATGAAATTTTTATCTTGCTGATTACGTTTCTCATTTTTTTCACTTTCTGCCATTGAAATCAAATCATGAAAAGAAAACGTATTGTTTTTGTTTATTAGTAAAAAAAAGTAGTTTTAAAATTTATCAGAAAAACTAAAAATTATTACAAACAAAAACATGACCCTATTTTAAATGGAGACGTAATCTTCACAGAAGGAGTTCCAAATTCAACGAATAGAATGATAACATGACAGAATGCGTGAAAAGAGGAAACGATTTTTCCCCAGGAAAGTAATGAATTAAAAAAGGTGATAAATAAATTCACCTGCAGATCAAGCGCCTCAGCCTCGAGTTGTTTATTCCTCTTGGCCATCCTCTTGAGGGCATCCTCAGTGGTCCTGAGCTGTCCATAAACTTCAAAAGCCCCTCCACTGCCTTCCTGTGCACTTTTTTCAAGAGCTGTAGCAATAATTTCCAGTCGGCGACGCCTCCTTTCCCTTCTCCTCCTCAACTCAGCATCACCCTGAGCTTCTCCACCGATTGTGAGCCGCTCAAGACGCCTCATAACTTCCCTCTTAGCAGCTTCCCTCTTCTTCCGTCGTTTCTCATCGATTTCCCTGGTGGTGGTTGTCCAGACTTTACCCTCAAAACTCTCCCTTCCAGTCTCATATCTTTCCCTGAGGGTCTCGAGCTCCTCTCTGAGCCTCTGAGCCGAGATGTTTGAGTCCTCACACTCTCTCTTCAGCTTCTCCACTTCCTCGTTATAACTTGACAAATTGCTGATGGAGGATGATTGGATTTCCTCGTCATCGTCAAAGTCTCGAGCACCTTCTAAAAGTTTCTTGAGCCTCTGGAGCTCAAGCTGGTACTGCCTCAAGAGGGCGTCCTTCGGGTCCTCGTTCACCACCGGTTTATTTTTTATGCATCTCGCCCTGGCGGCATACCTCAGGGTGCTGAGTGTCTCCTCTCCGTTGTCATCTGAGGGACTGATGCAGGCGATCATCAGAGTCCTGGCATTCCCTCCTAGGCTGTCTCTCAAAAGTCTCGTGAGTTTGCTGTCTCTGTATGGCACGTGCCGTCCATTACCAGCAGCCAGGGCACTGATGACATTCCCCAGGGCTGATAAACTCAGGTTGATACTCGCTGCCTCTTTTAATCGGTCTCCAGCAGCTCCAGTCCTCGACTGTCTCTCCGAACCCGCGAGATCCACCAGGTGAAGACGTCCCCGTCGCACCTGAATTTTTAGAGGATGCGATCGGCTCTATGAGAATTTATCTTTGACAAAATATATATCGGTAGAAATATATTGTACAATCTTATCCTGGAACGAATTATCTCCAACTTCATTGGAAGACAAATGGACCCGCGTTATTTAAGGTTCCTGTAAAATTTTTGTTTAAGGTTGTTGTCGCGCGACAGTCTCTGTAAAAAGTTTATCCGCTGTGAAACGGGCCAGTTTAGAACACAATCTTTTAGCGGTATATAGTCTCACTTGATTGATTGCATTGTGCATGGATAGCTAAAGCATAACTATATATTTTCCATATTAACTATTTTCAATTATATAAATTTATGAATTTCCGATAATTATATTCCGTAAACCAAACGGTCAATCGATTTGATTTTTTTTTTCTGTATTTCCTCCCACGATGTATATTCCACGTTTTTTTTTATTTCTGAAACTGTCGAGCCGTTGATTTTTAAAAAATTCTAATCGGCAAAACTCCATTTAAACGCGTGTTAAATCACTCGAATTTCAAAAATTTATATCGCAAGTTCAAAACGGTCAATTGCAAACGGAAAAGGCTCATTTTGTTGCTAATTTTTCAAACTATTCACCATAAAATTTTTAACGAAAACTGTCGAAAAAAAATTCTACGCGACAACAACCTTAACAGTTTTCGTTAAAAATTTTATGGTGAATAGTTCAAAAAATTAGCTACAAAATGAACCCTTTCCGTTTGCGATTGACCTTTTCGAACTTGAGATATAAATTCTTGAAATTCAAGGGACTTAACACGTGTTTACATAGAGTTTTACCAATTCGAATTTTTAGAATATCAATGTCTCGACAGTTTTCGAAATAAAAAAAAACATGGAATATATATCGTGGGAGGGAGTACAGAAAAAAATCAAATCGATTGACCATTTGGTTTACCTGATATAATTATGGAAAATCCATAAATTTATATAATTGAAAATAGTTAATATGGAAAATATATAGTTATGCTTTAGCTATCCATGCACAATGCAATCAATCAAGTGAGACTATATACCGTGTAAAGATTGTGTTCTAAGCTGGCCCGTTTTACAGCGGATAAACTTTTTGCAGAGACTATGGCGAGACAATAACCTTAAGACGCCTACCGAATACAATCCTACTCAGATCAAATTATATAGAAGATTGTAAAAGATAAATCTAGCGAAAGACAAAAGAAAAAATGTTCATAGAAAACGGGCAAGCGTCTCATTTCCTCCCAGTGAATTTTAAGGCGCGCGTTTTGACAAATATTTCGCCCAAAACGATAATTCTGTGCAAAATTTCAGATCTTTATCTTCATTCTCTGATGTTTAATTATTAAAAAACGTGTTTTTTCAATTTTATTATTTTTCGATACAAAAAATTACTTTAAGAATGTCTTCAATGTATTGGGGAAGGTAAAAGAATTGCTTGAAATTCTGACATAATGTTTTCGAAGCGATAATAGATGCCTGAATAAAATATGAGATTGATTGTCAGCGCTGTTTGTGGTTATTAATTATTAGTTTTCAATTAACACGGCCTCTTATGAGGAAAATATGAATTTCTGTAAATATACTCCAAAATATAACATTTTGTTGAAAATTTGGAAATTTGCTATTGAAGCAGATATATATATTTTTCAGAATGTTTTCAGATTTTTAAAACAATTTTTAGTATAAGAAAAAACATAAAATTAAAAACACGTTTTTTAATTATTAAAAATCGGGGAATCAAGATAAAGATCTAAAATATTTTACAGAATTATTATCTTGGGTCATGAATATGTCAAAAAATTGGTGCCTTGACTACTACACCCTTTATACAGCATTCCCCATATCGTGATGTCTGGAATCGTTGGACAGCATTCTGTACTAGGTGGGAAGATCATCAGGATAATTCTCGATATAATTTTACAAGAAAAATTTACTGAAAAAATGTATAGTCCAGACCAGCACTTGAACCGGAAATAAATTGACGGGATATATTGGCAGAAGATAAAATGGCGGGTAGCGAAAAATGGAGGGAAATATTTTGACAATTGAATATTTTCTGATATGAATCTTTAAATAATTTACCGCAGCTCCTGTCTTTTGTGTGTCCTCCCCCATGGCCAGTGCCTCCAATGAAATGGTGAGGACAGCATGACTCCTCGAGGATGTGGCATTCATTTTGGTGGCAGCCAAGGCTCTTCTCCTATCCCCCTGCTCCACTAATCTAGCGCATTCGGTAGCATCCTTGACAGTCACCTCTCGAAGTCCTCCAGCAACATAAGTCCCTCTCGACGGGTCCTCCTTCAGTTGAAGGACACCCTCCACCTGATTATCCTGCAAAAGATCCCGCAATCTCTCGTTGTAGATCTCCAGGTACGATAGCAGTGCCAAATATCTGGTGTCAGATGAAGACGTCGATGTCGCCTCGAAGATGTGCTCCAGGGTTTTCTCCACGAATCCGTGCATCGTGTGCGATTTTCCACAGCCTGTCTGGCCATATGCAAAAACTGTTCCATTGTATCCTTCAAGGACTGCCTCAACGACAACTGAACCCACGTCTTCGTACACTTTCTCGGTGGTGCTGTCTGGACCAAATGCCGCGTCGAATTGATACGACTTTCCACCACCTGTTGAACCCTCGAGGGTGCAGGTCTTCGCGATTGGATCCACCGATACTATATTCTAGGAAGCAATTAAAAATATAAATATTATTTTTTTATTAAATATTAATTTAAATATTCATTTTTTTATGAGGACGGGGCTTTCAAATATTCGTATGGAGAGATAACAATAATAGAATCGGCATTATTATTATTATTATTATTATTTTTTTTAATGAGATCGCTGAACGATCCACGAGGGTTCCGACTTCACCTCGAAGACCGCCCAGCAAGCTAAGCGATACAAACTTTTCCTAATCGCCCTACAGTAGTGCTCCCTTCAACCGAAGGGTGAGCTCTACTGTAGTCCAGAATCATGCTGTCTAAGTAGACGGAGGGATCCAAGAATGGCGGCCTTCTGCATTTGGCCAGCTAACATGAAGGCTTGCCGCCTACATACAGGGATGTTGTTCAGCACAAATATGAACGATTCTTTCATTCCCTCAAGAGATCCAATTATCAGGACAACCAACTTTACTTTAAATCCCCGATTTATGTGACGTAGCTCAAACAAGAGTGGCTGGTATTTGAGCCGCTTCTCCTCTTCTTTCACTGTAATGTTGCTCTCATCCGGAGCTGAGAACTCAATGACATAGATGATTTTGTCATCAAAATCGAAGAGGACGATGTCAGGTTTCGTCGCAACGATTGGTCTGACAGTTGCGAACGAGAAGTTCCAGTAAATCTTACACCTCTCGTTCACATTATTATTATTATTATTATTATTATTATTATTATTATTATTATTATTATTATTATTATTATTATTATTATTATTATTATTTACTCGTGAATGAGATCGCTGGATGAGCCTGGAGGGCTCTGCGTCGCCTCAAACACCACCCAGCAAGCTAAGGGATACAAACAACTCTTAATCGCTCTGCAGTAGTGCTCCCTCCACCCATAGGGTGAGCACTACTGCAGTCCGGAATCATGATGTCTAAGTAGTCAAAGGGACCCATGGATGAGAGCCTTTTGCATCTGGCCAGCCAATATTAAGGCATTGTGCCTACTGGCTAGAATTATCTCAGAGACAAAGGACTGTTTCATGCCGCCCAGACAGTCAATGATCAGAACGATCAGCCTGAGCCTAAACCCGCGGTTCACCTGGCGTAGCTCGATGTCAATGAGGACGATAACAGGCTTCGATGCGACGACGCGCCTGATAGTCGTAAGCGAGAACTTCCAGTAAATCTTACACCTCTCATTCACGATAACGGACTCAATATTTGGCACTTGCTCTCTACCTATTAGGAGGGGGATATAGACAAAGAACGGAATGGAACGGACTCCATATCTCTTGGAGTATTAACGCTAAATCGGCGTCCGGCCTATTCCATAAAAGTATCGCTGATGGTTTTTGTTATTATTATTCTTATTGTTGTTGTTGTTTTTGTTACACGGGAAAATATTTTTAGAAGATTTTGACATAATAGATTTTATCATCGAATTAATGAATTTTAGGTTTATCATTAATCGCAAGAAAAAGTTATTCCATTTCAGAATTTCAAAGAACTTTTCTGGAATAAATCATTGGAATACATTTGCAAAAAGAAACAGTTCTCTCGTTTTCTCCTTATTAAAAGAAAGACAACCATAAATTTTTAGATAAATCGTTTTATCGCTTCAATATATTGCACTTTTGTTAAATAATTTATCGTATAAACTATCAATTTCACGTGAAAGTGTAAGAGGAATTTTTTGTAGACGATGAACTTTTGTATAACATGACATTCTGATATTTTTCCGTATAACAAATGGCTTTGGAGTGAATGAAGGTGAAATCTGTGGAGAATTGAAATTATTCCGTTTTACTGCGGATTTCTTTTATCTTTTCTGAATAATCTAGAGCAAGTTAATATCGATTAATTGATCGGGTTATTTTTCTCGGTTGGTCACTTCATAAACGATTCTGTTTGCGTAGGAGTTTACATCGGAGACATTTGAGTTCTTGTTAGGCGCTTTTACCCAGTGATAATTAATAAATCGATTCATTAATTATTCAGATGCGCTCTAGGCTGTCGATTTCGGGGGAATCGATTGCTCTTCGTTCAGTTTTTTTTTTCGATAGCAGGGGAAACCCTTCGATCAATGTGTGTTAATGAAATGATTGGAATGGAATATCTGAATATTAATGGCATAATTAAATGATGAGGGGAAAAATGTAATATTGCGAAAGCTCAATCGCGCATGTTTTGACTTTACTGTCGCCTAGCACCCGCTCTATCGCTCGATATATAAAATGACGATTTTTTTACCTGACGATGACGATTTCATTGCACCCCACAATGGACCGCTTTAATTAATTCCGTGTGGATTAAAAAATTTGGGAGAAACACTTAATGAATTCGTTTGACAATTCTATTGGATTTTTGTTTAAACATTCAATTCTAGTTCAAAATAATCGATAGAATTCGATTTTTCTTTATAAGTTATTTTATCAAAATATTTTCTGTACGATTTTCAATTTTTTTAAAACTCTTTTTTCTTCATGACAAGAAGATGAAAATAGAAATAAAAAAATTGTGGGAGTTGAGGTTCAAGAGATTCTGTGGAAAATATCTAAAGTGAAAATAGAAAAATCAAGTAGAAATTAAAGAAAAAAGGAAAATCGAATTCGATTGCATTTTTTTAGTGAATTTTTATAATTTTGGATTGAACATTTCAGGAGAGATTGAATAAAATTTTATAATGAATTCGTTACATATTTCTCGAAATTCATTGAAGTCTTAGTGCTTTCAAGGGATTTAATGGACAGTAAAAAGTTTAATCTATTAAAAAGAATAATTTAAGTGATTAAAATAAAAAAAAATTATTTTGCCTCGGAATTTTGAAGGACTCACCTGACAGCCAGAGGACTTCTCCCTCTGGTTCATAGGTCTGCACCTCACAGCGACCTTCACTGATTCACTCATCTGCAACACGTGGCACAGAATTTAGGTCATGACATTTGAAATTCAGGCTTGAGTTCAATTAAAAATAATTACTAGGTCATACAACATTCCACTAGATTTTTTCGGCACACGAACATGAGTCGATTGATCTCTTCTCTGAGTTTTTCCGAAATATCGCCGAGACAAAGAAAAATTCGAAATTTTTCATAACAACCTTTTTTTTAGAGCGAATCGCGAGCTATAAAAAAGGTCATTATGAAAATTCCGCGAACTCTCTTAGTTTCACGGATATCTTCAAAATCTAATCTTATCGGAGAATCAACTCCTTGTTCCGAAAAGTTTTTCCGAAATAACTCCAAAATTAAGAGAATTAATGAAATTATCATTGGAACCTTTTTTGTAGAGCTAACTTCGAGCTCCAAAAAAGGTCATTACAAAAATTTCGATATCTTCCTTAGTTTCGAGTATATCTTCTGAAAGCTGATAGAAGACGTGAATCGATTGATTTTTCTTCAATTTTTAAGGAAAATTGGGAATTTCGTACATGAAAATTATTAATAACTATTTATTCTCTCCAAATTGACTCGACCTTGAAAAAATCGAAGCATTGAATCACGAGAATATGACTCGAGGTCCAACTGTTTTTGTACTCACGCTATCAGACTTCCGGTCGAGAGATCAAGGGATAGATAAGCCGTGGCCTGATGACCGAGTCTTCAGCTCCGGACACAAACAATCCCCTCGCAAATTATTTTCAAGTGATTTTATTATCATCTATGAATTGCAGATTTATCATTGTCCATTGGAGCCATTGGTGACGCAAATTCACATCGATATAATCTACAAAGATTTTAAATGCGCAGGAAACATCACTGTTTGCACCTGAAATATTAATGAACTCGCCGGTTGTTAAGACGCATTGAATCACAATTTTTAAAAACTCCTCACAATTTTTCCCCGATTTTAACTTTTAATTTCAGGGACCGCAGTTGATTCTAGGTGGAAATTATTCAGGTGTCTCTAGAGGTGTCAATAATACTAGAGAATAGCAAATGGTACTGAAAGTAGAACACGACACCCTGACCGAGCTTTCAGGGGAAAACTACCCCTTGTTGAACGTTTATTCCGATTTATTTCACTTGCGCAAGCCCATCATTTTCAAATACAACGATATGCGCGCGCTTATTCTCGAGTTACAACTAGATTCACTTGCTCCAATCATTATTCTCATAAATAAAATACGATTCAACCTCGCGCCCACAAAATAATATTCTTAATTAGCATCACTTTACTCGTACCTATGTGGCAATTAATAACGGTAATTACAGCAAATGAATCAGAAACTGTTAAAACTGTTTTGTAATTGGCGCCAGTCATGCGCACTTCAATGGAAAAAGCCATTGAATTCTGAGAATGCGAGAAGAGGAATTGATTTGGTTTATTATTCATTAGAAGACGGGACATAGTTGTGGTCATGGCGTTTAATTTTAAGAGCGAAGAGGATGTGAAGGCGTATCTCAAAAATATTTACATGGAATATCGATTTGGTTGTGAGAGTGAAAAAAATGGAAATGGTGAGTGCAAGAATGAGACAGTCTAACCTATTTGTGTTGGTTTACCATTAATTAATTGAATAAATTTTTGTCACAGCTTGTCATCTCTTGGGGGATTACAATGAAGGAATTAAACGAGATATTGAGACGGCAGCTAATATTTACAAAGCTAATTGCGACGAGAGAAATTGGCCCAGAAGTTGCGCAAAATTCGGAGGATATGTAGCTACAGGTAAAATAGGAAATTTTCTGAGGGTTATATCCACTGAGTTTTGAATTTCGCGGGGTTTTTCAACGGGGACAATCGGAGAAAAATTGAATGAATTGTAAAAATTTAGGGGAATTCCTTTATCAACTAACTATCGATTCATGGTTTAAATTTGAGATTGATTGACAACTCCCTTCTGTGGTTATTATTAATTATTAAAGTGAAAATTTGAAAATAAAAATTTCTGTAAATATAATCCAAAATATAAACTTTTGTTGAAATTTGGAAAATTTACTATTGAAGCAGATATAAAACGATGGTAAAAAGTTCCTGACGATTGACTGAAATTTAATTTCATTAATTTGTATAAACAATATAATACATATTCATAAAATCAAATACAATATAATAATTGTCTATTGCCATTACCTCAACTGATTAACGAATTATAGAAAGGGTCATAAACTTTTGTTCTGACTATGTTAGACTTTCACCTGGGGTCAAAATTCAGAGTTCCAAAGTTTTTATATTTCCGGATTTAGAAAATATTTATTTCTGTGTTGCTGTGGAACCTTTCCTTTATGTTTTTTCCAAAATACGTCTGGTGACCCGAGAGAGTCAAGAAAGAAAAGTCCAAGGGTTGAGGGTGGAAGGAGAAATTATATTGCCCTCTCGAGAGGAGTTTAACAAGGGCCTCACTAGTAATGTTTAGTTAGTTCGTTGTAAGTCTTCGTTCAAAAAAGTATCTTTTAACTGTCTAGACTCTAGAGTCTAACAATTTTTAATAATAATTTTCAGTCTAGAAAATACTCCAAATGTTTATTTATTTCGATCTCCATGATCCAATATACTATCCGTGCAGAAGATCCTTAAGAGGAACGTTCTTAATAATCTCGTTCTTGAATTTCGTTCTTACCGGAACGCTCTGAATATTTTCGTTCTTAATTTAATTGCTTGTGAGAACCTTCTTTTGTGGTTAGGTTCTTCGACCGAAGCACGAAACACGAAGAACGCGTTCTCAAACCGTTTACTACTCCTAATTTCTTATCAATTTCTGATGTAGGAAAAGGCTGCGAGAAAGATTACGTAGAGGCCTTCAAATACCTGGAGAAAAGCTGTACCCTGAACGACCCGAAGGGTTGCGTTCAGGCAGGGACTCTGGCTACAGTAAAAAGCGTGAACCTCGAGGAAGACAAGGTCAAACAAATAAAGAAGGGGATGGAAATGTTCAAGAAGGCCTGTCACGAGTATAAGGAAGAGCCCGGTTGCTTCCTCCTAGCTAGCATCTACATGGGAGGCCTCAAAGAGTTTATAGAACCTGATTTAAGAAAGGCATACAAACTCAATTTCAAATCCTGCGAAATGGGAAATCCTTTTGCCTGCGCCAATCTCTCCCAGATGCACGCCAGAGGCGAGGGAGCACAGAAGAATGAAAAAATGGCTGATACTTTTAAAGAACGAGCTCTAATACTCCATAAAGAACTTGCAGAACTTCAGAAGCAACTCCAGTTCCAACAGGGCATCAAAACGTGATCCCATCTTGTTTTCTAGGTGCTAAATGCGAGTCTAAATATCGAAAATATTTAGGGAGGATTTTCCAAAAACGTCAGGAGCCAATTTTTAAACTTCAGATGAATGTTTTAGTTACACTAGTCATGTAATTAAATTTAATCAGTTGATCAAAAAATTCAATAGTAAATATTTTTTCTATAAACCTCTTTGCTATTTTGACCACGTTCAATGAATTTGTGCATGGAAATGAAATACATGAGTGTTTGCGGCGATAACAGATGTCATTATGGTTTTTATTTAAATAATTACTTTTTTTCAAATCTTGATACATAAATTTTGATACATTATCAGTAATGGCCGTTGATGAAATCGATAGAATTGAAAATCTGAATAGTATTGTTGTTCTGTAGTGGATTTGGGTATTTTGTAATACGAGAACGAACGCACGTTGCAGTGCGCTGTAATTATAAAAATCGTGATTAAAAATTGTTAATTTAAATGAGTTCCAAATTCAAATTAGCCGCTTCAAACGACTGAACCAATGAGGAATAAGCGTAACAGACTTTCGAGATATCGATAGTCTCGATGTTTATCCTTTTTAGAATAGGATAAAAATGGTTAATTTAAATGAGTTCCAAATTCAAATTAGCCGCCCCAGACGACTGAACCAATGAGGAATAAGCGTGACACAGTTTCGAGCTATCGATAGTCTCGATGTTTATCCTTTTTAGAATAGGACGAGAACGAACGCGCGCTATAGTGCGCTGTAATTAAAAAAAATCGTGATTAAAAAGTGTTAATTTAAATGAGTTCCAAATTCAAATTAGCCTCCTCAGGCGAGTCAACCAATGAGGAATAAGCGTGACAGAGTTTCGAGATATCGATAGTCTCGATGTTTGTCCTTTTTAGAATAGAGAAATATCATATGATGTATTAATAGCAACGATTATAACAGATTTATTTCTCATAGACAATTCTCGATTATCGGAAAATCTTCGGGAAAATCTGCCCCAAAAAATCTCTCCGGGCATAAAATCCCTGGAGACAAAATCTTATTGAACGGGATTCTCTTCTGAAAATGACTGTTAGCACAAAGCCGCAAGGTCTCTACACAATACCATAATATAAAAAATTCCTGAAAAATAGAAACGCCCGCAAAATTTATTTTCATTTAGTTTCACATTTCACATTAGGTAGGAAAGAAACCAGGATAATTCCCGATATAATTTTCCAAGGAATTATTTCCAGAGATTTATGTCAGAGATTATTCGGGGAGGTTTTTCCGCTTACAACAATTCTCTACGTGTCACCTCGACAACAGGTATACAACGGAAATAGGGAGGGATAAGGGGTGATTACAAGATGCGTCAATTATGTAATTTTTGCGTTCGGATATGTTTCTAAATTCGATATAAATCAGATAAAAATATATTAGAATTGTAAAGAAGTCATTGAGACTTAAAATTGTGGACAATATATCATAACATCGAAAGCTACGATAATTAGCAATAGACATGAATTTTAGAACGTGTGATACCGTTGGAAAATCAGATACAATTAATCAGATTTGAGAAACCAAAAATGGTTCAATATATCTATAGTATATAAATATTCTTATTCATTCACTTCGGAAATATTGAAAAATACGATTTTGAAATCCGATTTTCACGTTCAAAATGCGACAACTCCATGAAAAAGGATGAGAATCACATAACCCTCGTAATTGTTCAAAGTTTATTGAATGAGCTTTTAAATCAGTCCATAATCAATTGTGATTCCGGCAAATTTTCATCTGTTTCTGCACATTTTTGTGATGAAATTGTTTTTTGTGTTTTATTTGTGAAGTCTGTTTAGTTGAGGTGTTTCTATAACTCTCGGTCGAGAAAATCGAATCATTCATATGTCATTTTGAACATTATTTATTCTCCTTTGGAGAGGTGCAATGGTAATTATGATTCAATTGAATACTCATCAAATGATAGCATATTGTTATGATTTTTTTATATTTTTACGCCCTAAAACTTATGGTTTCTGGCATATGTAGTGTAAGAGACTAAATATTTAACGATTATTTAATTAATTAATCCGATCTTCCAGTTATTGTTAACAATTAAACTTTGGTTTAAAGACTCGATATAATATGAGCTGGGTTGATTGTGGTAAATTTAATGTTGCTTGCTCGAGAGTTCGTCTCCAAGTGTCCTCAGTCACCAAATCGTCCAGGGTGTCAGGTCTACCCATTAGACAAAGCCCTTTGTCTATGGGGTTGGTCCACGTGTTGGGCTGTTTCGTATAAACAGCCTAAATGTTTCCGTTATTCCCTCTGATCTGTCACAACAGGTCTCTTGTTCGTTTTCACGTCGAAAATATTTCCAACACTAGAAGCTTCAAAATTAACGAATCCAGATTTATCATATGCCAATTCATAGATTTCATTAATTTCAGTAATAATTATTATTAATTTTTTACCTGAATATTGAATTTCATATTATTATTTTTTTGACAGGCTATAAATTCAATTTCATAATAGAATAAAAAATCTGGAGAAGATTTAAATAACGACTTCCTTCAACATCCCGTTAAACCGAGACTTAACATTTCTGAATATAAAACGTAAAATAGATTTAAAAAAAGTTAAAGATTTTTTGTATCTCTTCTTGGATTGCATAAAAAAGTTCTTAAAAATTTGAATATCTTTTTTCGATTGTGAGGAATTCTACGAAACCTCATCTCGTTACTTTTTATCTCTTCGTGCCAGCATTCAACAACAAAAGAACACGTGAAATTGATGAAAGAGCCTTAAAAAAAAGACATAAAACAAAACAATTGCATGAAAGAATGCATTAAAGATTAAACAGTCATAACATTAATATCGAATTCTATTTTGAAGTCATTGTCAGGTTCGGATATCGCCTGAAATCCAATCCAAAACTCCGTTATCGCCAAACCAGTAATTGAATATGTAATTAAACCCCTTGCTTGTGAACCGAAGGTCAGAATCACCGAAAAACCAGTGGAAAGAGACAAGAAATCCTGACCCCGATGGAAATCAAAAGGATCTCCCACTCTTCATGACCTATTCAGGCATTCCCCACTCTGGAGTTTCCTTTCGCTTTATATAATGTCATCGTTTCACGAAACATTCTCTCAGTTTTTCTTATGATCTAGGAAGATATCCTTTCGTAAAATGATGCGATTACCTATCATTAGTGCTTTTGTACTCCTCTGTGGCTCGGTGAGTACATAATTTTGCCTTATTCTTGCATTAAAAATTACATGAAAATTAAATCGAAGAAATTCTTGAAAGTGAAAACAATTGACTATTTTTTGAGAAATTATTTGTAGTTATTACTCGAATGACAGTAATTTATTATAGTGTATTCGATTTTTTAATTCACTTCAAGTTCTTGAAAGAACTTGAAACGAATGCAACTGGCAAATTTTATCATCCGAGAGCTTTGCTCTCTAAAAGTGATATAATATACTTATTTTCCTCATGAGAATACTGCCGTGATTAAACAATCGAAATACAATAAAGGTTAATTAAAAGAACTTTAATAACAACGTTTAGTATAATATGTCAGAAAATATTTAGTGTGGAGCGATGTGATCTCATTTGGGTTGAGACTCGAACTGTCCGATGGATTTTCCGTTTTGGGGACCTTAGGTCCAAGTCCTCTTTGTTTATGACTCAAGCTAGATTCTGCATTGCCAGTGTCCCAAATGTTTTCCAGATGAAAACCCCGAGGTGTCGAGTGGAGTAAAACAAGGGCCTCATTGTCCTCAACCGTTTATTTACCAGTTCTAGTCGAACGCGTTTAAGTTTTTCCCTCACATGTTTACATATTATATACACAATAGATAGTACGAATAGGTATAAAAAGGAAAATGAAGTTAGTTTTGCTGAGTGCATGTTGATAATGTAGCGATAGTTTTGACTAGACTGTGTATGTGGCGAAATGGCACATTATGAAGGGTGCAATGGTGTGAGAGGAGTTCCGGAATTTAATAATTTACGGAGAGCCCAGGCTCTCAATTTTAATAGCTTTGAACTTTTTGAATATAATGTGCAAAGCGTATTTAACGTATATATTATAGTATATTATATTTAGATGATTAATTAATTGATTAATATAATTAAATAATAATCAATTAATAATTAATCAGTCGATTAATTAATTGTAGAAGCACTCAAAATAAAGTTTTAAATTTTGCATGCTACGTCGGTCTAATATGATCCGAAAAAGGCGGAAATATATGTGTGCGCATGCACCAAAAATTTTATATCATCGAGGTTGGTAAAACGCGCCTCCAATCTCGTTTTGCTTCTCTAATAAAAACGCGTTTTCGGCCACAATGACATAAAATAGCATCTCAGCCACGGCGATAAAAAGTGATTCTCACACATGCGCATTATAATTCTCGTCTTCGGCTCGGACTATAAAGCCGCTTTCGTCAGATTCACTTTTTCCGTCCTAGGCGTGAAAAATACTATTTTCCGAATTTTTCTTTAAATGTCCGGCCAAGAATGAATGGAATTTTATTTTTTTTTCAAATGAATATTATTTTCGAATGAAATACGGAAAACAAACTTAGGTAAATGTGTGGTAATAACTCAAAATAAGTCAGTAAAGTAAATCACATCGCATCTAATATTCATTTCTTCATTTGAAAAACACAATCAAACAACGATAGAAGGTAATACTCTTAAAATATACATTGAACGAAGGAATCAAAAAATTAATCCGCAAAATAAAAAAAAATAGAAATTCGGAGAGAATATCCCACTGAAAATGACGCGCGAAAACCCGTAAAATTTATTAAAAATCTCATTAAAAAATTAAAAATAAAATGTTTAAAAAGTTAAAAATTCATGAAGAGAAAGATTCATAAAGTGAATTCAACTGAAGGTTTCAAATTTCTCTCTTATATTCTATAGAAATTCACCTAAAACCGCGGATAAGATGAAGTGTTTAATAATTTTGCTTGAATATTTGTCTCCATGAAAATACTGAAACAATAAAAAAAAACGGAGTACCACGGAGGAATGGGTATGTGATGCATAATTTCAGGCTGAGTTAATGGACAGCGTTCAAAATGTTAATGTATTCAATAAAAATCATCCAAAAGGCATTACTGAATTCGTAAACTAATAAACAACCAGTTTTATGCGTCGTTTTTACCAAACAGATTTGATCAAAAATTTATAAACCTAATAGTTTGACTGTCCGTTAACTCACCCTGAACCCGTCTCTCCACGGTAAGTCAGGAGACAAAAAGGGTCCTATCCTAAAAAGGACAAACATCGAGACTATCGATATCTCGAAACTCTGTCACGCTTATTCCTCATTGGTTCAGTCATCTGAGGCGGCTAATTTGAATTTGAAACTCATTTAAATTAACAATTTTTAATCACGATTTTTATAATTACAGCGCGCTGTAGCGCGGGTTCGTTCTCGTAATAAAAAAAAGGCAAAACACTAACAAAACATATATTTAAAAAATAGCGCCAATTTAGCTCAATTAATTTCAAAGCAATACATATTTACCAACTTAATAAAGTAAATGTAAATGAGAGTAAATGCGACAATGAATTTACATGAAAGAAAAAACAATACGCAAAATGATGATTAGGAATTATATTGCAAATTTATTAGCAAAAATAAACTATACTCACCCCATAAAATATGCACATTTGATTTTTAAACGTGCATATCAAATTCGTTCACAAAATTTCACTCTATCAAGTTCTACACGGTGTTGCACTGCGGTGTGCACATAAGATAAAAGTTGTACAAAAAAATGTACACTCCAATTAAAAATGAATGTTTTTCGTAAAAATCGTGCACATTGAATTATAATGAGCTGAAGCTGATTACTTATTTGATTAGTCAATCCACTTGATTGTTTAATCTTTCAGATTGAATTGCTTGTTTATTTATATTATTAATTAATTGATTAATTTTGATCTTCTGTTTTTTTTAGAATGCAAATGCAGAATCTCCATGCAAATCTTCACCTTGCATCACTGTCGATGTTTATTACGAGTCCCTCTGCGGAGACAGCATGATGTTCATTAGAAATGAACTAGTGCCATCATATCCTGACCTCAAAGATTACCTAAATATCAACTTTATTCCCTATGGAAAGGCCTCTGTTAGTAAAGACAAAATTCCCAAATTCTTTCTCTCCTATTTCACTTCCAAGTGTCTCATACTATTTTTGAATTTCGCGCTTCTTTTCTTTCGTTGCAATATTCATCCTTTACTTAATGAAACGTTAATTGATTGATCATATTATTTGATCATTTCTGCTTTTATCTTTATTTCGAGAATTTTAACAGAAATTATATTTTTTTTAAGAGATATGTTTCTTTGGCGTACTTTCAAGATTAATTACCATTAAAAAATTATTTAGACCAAACTAGAGGAATCCAAGAAGTACTCGTTCACTTGTCAACACGGCCCAGTCGAGTGTCAAGGAAATAAGGCCCAAGGGTGTGGATACGACGCAATTCTCAACTCTGGCAAAACATATGAAGAAAAACAATCTCTAGCTGTTGCTTTTATCGGTTGCGCAATGTCCAGTGATAATCCAGGAACAGCTGTGCCAGAAGTAATTCATAACAATCCTAAAACAGAATATTTTTATTTCATCCATTATTGACGAACTTCTTCTACTTGATGAATTCAGGAGTAGAAAAAATATTTAAAAATGTAGAAGTTTGAATGCTTAGTTAAAAATCGCTAGAAATTCTTGATCGATGGCTCAAAAAAATCGTTCCTTCCACAGAAAAACGATGAAACGAATTTCAAATGATCTGAGGATTATAAACAATTTGGGTGAACGTTCAAAAACACGAAGTGGTGGACAGAAGCCGTCGCTGCCATTTTGTGTGCACGTACGCCCCTTCCCTCTGCATAGGGACTTCTAAAGATGGCGTCGCCGCCACCTGGCATTTTTAAATATGCATTATAATTATTTACGCTGTTGAAATTCCTTTCAATTCGCGTAATTTTCTTCGTACGGAATGAACTATTTTTTTGAGTCCTGGTGAAGATATTTATGTTACGATTTGGCTGCAAATTTAAGGGAAAAATTTCTTTCTCATTTTGGTACGTTTTTTTGCCACCTCCGAGGCGTCGGAATTGCTGATTTAGTTATTTATTTATTTATTTATGGTATTTTGCAGTGCGCTAAAACGACGGGATTGAGCGAAGAAACGAGGAAAGTCATCGACGATTGCATAAATTCGGAAAAAGGAGATGCTCTTCTGGCCGGTTATGGAGAGAAAACTCATGATTTGAATCCTGCATTGACATCTGTACCAACTATTATTCTCGATGGGGTGAGATATTTAATTCTACCATTAATTTACAATTAGTCCCTCATAAAAATCGATTTATCAAATCCTTTCTCTTTCATAGAAAATTTCAAGATCTTTTAAAAAACAAAAAATTCTAAATAGTAAAATTTGTCGAATTGCACCAGTCACTCCTAAAAATATTACATAACATATTCTGCATAAAAAAATAATGCAAAAAGAAAAAAATAAATTAAAATAAAATAAAAATGAAATGAGATTTTTACGTAAAAATTGGAGTCAATCCACCATTTCTTGTTATGGAAATTTGAGAGTATTTATTGATCCGATAGTCACGGTCTTGAATTATTGAGAAGAATAATTAATTTGAATTTTGTTATCGTAATTCATTCAGGTATACTCCAAGGAAAATCAGAGAGCAGCGGAATCAAACTTCAAAAAACTCATCTGCGATCGGATTCCTGACAAACCAGCTGCTTGTTCCAAGTGAATAAATCAAGAAGATATTTTTTCAATTCATTCCCAATGATTTAAAACTTGTTCTGGGCGTGATTTTACAATGGAGAATAAATGCGTGAATGAGTGAATTATGAAACGTAATAAAACTGAAGAATAAATGAATGATAATACATAGGACGATGAATCTTTATTCAAATTCACAAACTTAAAATTCATTCTTCATGGAGCAATAATACACACTTTTAGGCTGTGAAACTGGTCCTGAATTTCAGGAATAAATAAAACTGATGTCCATAAGGGCTGAAATTTCGACATCTCACCTATAAGAGCCAAGGCCTGAATATTCATCATATCACCAAAATATATGAAGTAATTTATCGTGAAATTCTAGATTACGCCCATCCACTTCTATTCGCAAGACCTGGTACCCAAAAAATGATCAGCCTAGCCGAAAAATCCACCCTGAGGAAGATGACCAAACTAAGGCACCCAGACAACCCGCTCCACAACCCCTCAAACACATTCCCATATCAACACCTAAAATCAAACCAATAGCGGACAGTCTCAAGGCACTAACAACAAACTTCTCCGTAAACAAACTTGACCATATTCTCGACCTCTGTCAAGTACGGCATCTCAACATCAGAACGCATTATAAATATCCCCAACACTCTCCCCTCGAAGATTTGAAACAAATAAAACAGAACTGCGAAAAATGGAACTCCTGGGGAGAGCTAGCGCACATTCTAGAGTAACAAAAACACCTCTGTACCTCTAATTCGTCAAATCACTATTACTTATGTCTAATTTTCATCGCACTAAATAATATGTAAAAACTCAGCGATTAAGACTATAGGAAAAATACTTATTTTTATGTAGGTAAATCATGCGTAGAACAATTTATATTATAAATAATCGAATGTAACTCACAGGCAATAGCCACTTTATTTTTCAAAACCATAAATTTTTAATGAACAATCGCCAATGGTGCGCTAGTCGCTTTAAATACAACAAAACAAATCGCATGATTTTGCTATCAACATGAACTTTCCCCGAGTTTCGAGATTAATATTTTAAATGAGAGGGCAGAATCAGTTTGACCCGCGGCAAAACCGCGATCGAATCCAGTTCTCACCATTCTCAACTGCTCCAAGGATTATCCATCATCGTAGCTGCATTTTTCCTCAATAAATTCCTCAGTTTGCAATTAGAATTTCAGGACTGATTAATGTGTTGATCTTTAACAGCGAGTGGCTAAAGCAAACAATAGATGATGAGATACGCTATCTCCACGATCTTTGGGCTTCTGTCTGTATCGGTGAGTCATAATTTCCATCGCATTATATCAACGGCTTCTGCAATTTATTAACAATACCCTCTAATTACCTCCGTTCTACTGCGGTAATTATAAGTTATAGATTTTTTACAGAAAAAACTAAAGTAGATGGAGAAACAATTTGATATATCGATTTTTGCGCAGATGAGAGTGCAAACAAGAATTTTTGGCAAAAAAAAAACAAAAAAGATGAAATATCTCGAAAAATTTGAACCAACCGGTATATATATTTTGATTGCTTGTTATAGCTGACATCAAGACGAATATTTTGAAAGAAAAAAAAATCATATCGGTTGGATAGTTGTTTAGATCAGGGCTGGGCAAACTCTGCTCGGAGAGCAAGTCGTGCTCTCGACCTCTATTAGTGCGTAACAAAGGGTAGACGAAAGCCCATTGTATCGGGTGATGGGCCTTTATGACCCACATCGTAAAAGCCCTTCTCCTCCGCTGAGATCAATCGAAGTGGGGGTGACGCTTAAGAAAAGGAAAAGAAGAGAAATTAGACTCATGTAAAGGAAAGCGAAATAAGTCGATCAGAAAAATTTCAATTTTTTTTCATGTGTGCATTAAAAAATAATCAGATGCGCGACAAGTTTTACCCTTCCGGAGGATAAATTCTTGCCAGATGCTTCATGGGATACTCCCCACCTTAGTACCTGTGAAGCCCCCACTACTGCCCCCACTATGCTAGTACTAAAACCCCTATTATTGAAATGGTTGTAAACTTTATTGGATTTTTAATCCGAGTTTATGGCTCTGCTCCGAGCTACCTAGAGATTGCCAATATCTAAACTTTAGATATTCCAGAAATTAGATCTACAAACGAATGAGAATTTTTCAAAAACGGTTGGATCGATTGGGCTGCAATTTGGGACAGAGTTAGTCTTGCATCATTATATTTTTATATTTTATATATTTTAAATTTAATCAACCTTGCAGGAGAAGAGGTTTTATTTTCAATTTTTTTTTAAACTACAAAAATCCATTTTTTCACAGTACAAACTTCCAGAATTTCTAGAGAAACTCCCTGAAACCCAGCATCTTTTGCAGTAAAAATTTTTTCTCATTTATTACTATTTTTTAATTTCCAGTGCAGCGGATCGGACGTATGTAAATCGTCTCCATGCATCGGTGTTGACGTTTATTACGTTTCCCTCTGCCCGTATAGCGCTAAATTCATTAAGGATCAATTAATGCCTTCGTACCCCGACTTGAAGAATTACCTCGATGTCAAGTTTATCCCATACGGAAAAGCAAAGGTGAGGAGAAAAAAAGTGGAAAATCGTTCATTCATTACATATAGTGCAGCTAGTTTCAATAATAAATTAACAATATATGCGACAGGAAAGGAAATATAATTTTTAATAATTAATTTATACCTATAATTGATTTCATTATGATATTATTATCATGAATATATTAATAAAAATGATCAATAAAAATAATAAATATTAATTGATCGTTATGATAATTTTTTTGTTTCCATTTTTATATTGTAAAAAAATTATAATCATCTACGCTCCAGTACAAAATGAACGGTTCAAACAAATACGAATTTGAATGTCAACATGGGCCCAATGAATGTATAGCAAATAAGGCCCAAATTTGTGGGTACGAGGCAATTCTGAATTCCAATAAAACTTTTGAGGATAAAAAATCATCGGCTGTCGAACTCGTCGGATGTGCCATGTCCAGTGCAAATCCTGTCACAGCTGTTCCAGGGGTCAGTCCCAAGATCAGATAATTAATTGAACAATGAAAAATGATTTATCGGTAGATTTTAAATTATTGCAATGTTTTTACAGTGCGCTAAGTCCATGGGGTTGAGTGCAGAAATCAGAAAAAATATGACCGATTGCATGAATTCGGAAATGGGCGATCGTCTTCTCGCCGCATACGGTGATAAGACATACGCCCTTACGCCAACTGTTCAAGCAACCGGAATTCCGGCTGTTGTTATCGATCATGTGAGTTACTTCGAATTTATTAGGTGTTTGTTCGTTTGTATTTTCATCTCGAAATTTTGGGGAGAGGAAAAATAATTCAATTGCGTCATTTTTTAATTTAATCTAATTAGTCTTTTAAATTAAATTGATTTAATCTTTCAAGTTCTTATTTTCAAATAGAATCAATTCCACAGATTTTACAAATTCCTTGAGAATTTTATGAGAAAGTTACTTCCAAGAAAATTACTCGGTATAATAATTTATTATCATTATAATTTATTTTTACAACTGATTATAGTGATAATGAGCAATGATTATGGTAAATGTATGGTTTAGGTCCACCAAAAGCAATAATCAGTTGTAATACCACGAGAGCTTCAAAATTATCGAGTATTTCCCGTTTCGTTGCAAACCAATGAAGGAGTCAAGTTTCTCAGGTATAAAAATGATTTTTCCTGAAAAATTTGACGTCTTCGTTTGTTTGCAGGGAACCTTGAGGAAAATACTCGACTAATTTGGAAGCTCGAGCGGTATTCGTCGGATTATTTTTTCAATCCAAATTTCGGTTAACAGAATTGGCCCATGAGACGAACCTCACAGTTGTCAAATACAAATTTTATTTTCAAAACAAATATATTTCAATTCAAATTAAGGGATCGAATTAAATCTGTCATTGACATCTGGGGTTAATTCGACTGGATATTATTTTGTTTCTTATATATAGGAATACCAGACAAAATTATCAAAAAATTATCAGTATAATACCATGGTCCTTGGTACCACGTGACATCAAATGGGCCAATCCTGTTAACGGAAATTTGGGTTGAAAAAATAATCATTGAAATATGAATTTCTCTGACGAAAAATCCATCCTTATCCTCTCAGTTCCCATTAACAAGACGAAAGAAGAGAATGAGAAACAACAAAGAGGTAAATACATCGAAAAATAATCCTGAGGTAAACTCTGTTGTCCCTGAAATTCCTTAAACCCCCTCTTCCCCCTGTTGTCGCTGTTGACACGACGAGCGAGTGATATTAAATTCAATAATTTGAATTGCTACGAAAGGGTAATGGCGGATAAATCACTCATTGTGTTCAGTCAGCGATGGTAGATGGTCGGGTGAGGTGAATTCAGAGTTTTAGTGAAGTGTTCAGGAATATTTGATGAAATCCATCTTTCTGTGTGTCCATTGTCTATAAATGTGCCAACATGTGGTGTCTTTGGAGCCGACACACCGCCACGTCCTCGCCGTGGCCCTGGATAACGCAAAGAGCAGTGGATTAAATGTCATATCTCTCATCCTAATTGTTTCCGGTTAAAAAGGTGACCAGATCCTTAATTAGGAGACAGAAACCCATCCAATCAAATAAAAAACATCCAGAATGGTTTGGTGGACCTAAACTAGACATTTACCAAGAAATAAATGATAGATTTGAAATGTCAAAATTCCATAAAATTTTCATGAAAAAATCCCACATTTTTAATGGAATGAAATGATGATGAATGAATGATTTTAAAATAGAATGAATTTCTCAAATTATTTTCTCCTGTACTCTACAGTTAAACAACGCTGTAAAAATGATGATTATATAATTATAATCAAATTCTGTAATTGTGCAGTAATTTTTCTAGAGTCCCTATAATTTCCACTACAATGTCACAGTAAAAATGTCTTCAAATGGTGCATTAATTCATTAAGTCATCCGTGAATTTAAAAAATCAGAGTAAATTTAATAACAATTATTTATTTGAAGGTGTACTCTCCCGAGAATCACAACGCAGCAATTGATAACTTCAAGAATCTCATCTGCAACCGCATCTCCGAAGGAAAACCTACAATCTGTTCAAAAGAATCCAACGGAATTATCAATGTGCAGTAGATGTCACGCCCTCGAGTAATCGAGAATTATTTTCTAATATTCACTGCATCTTGACTGCAATGTTGTATATCTAATCTCGTAGGAAATAAAAAAAAACCAATTGAATCATCTGTACGAGCTGCTTCAAACTTCCTCATTTTCACGGTCGATAAGAAATGCAATAAATAACTCAGTGTAATTCCCAGTGAATAACAAATTCCTTTATTCTACAACGAAAATTTTTAAACTGTAAGACACATGACACATCCCCTTTAACATTTATTTCTGTTTTTTTTAATCCCCAATTTTCTGCGAAACAATTAATTCAAGATGAAAGCATTAACTAATTTATTTTTTATTCCTTCATTTTAACAAAATTTTTAATGAAATTAAATAATTAAATTCCTCTTATTAGTAATTTTTTTGAGTTATCAGTAAAAAACAGATGTACAATTTTTTATTGTAAAATTTATTATTTTATTATTTCCTTTTTATTATTGTTTAATGTAAAAATAATTGGATTGTAAATTGGAAAATTACTAGGAGTCATATGATTTTAAATTCAATTTAAATTAAATTGGACCGGATGGGAAGAAATAATTCGATCCATTGAACCCAGAAGATCAGTGATAATTGCTATCGCTTTTACTGTGATCTCCCACTCTACTCTGATATCCTCTCGCCCTACTTCAAATACTTTCTTATCCGTTTCGAGAAGAGACACCAGTGACACAGAGTTGAGTCTTCGAGTTGTATTTGTGATTTGAAAAGGAATTATCAGCTCTCGCATAATGATACAGTACGTCGTTTCTGTTTTCTTGGTGCTTTGCGCGTCGGTAAGTCCACAATATTTTTTAACTTTACGTGAGGATAATTTCTGATGCATTTTTGAGGATAACACATTTTATTTGTATTATTTCTAAGATTAATCATTGCAAGAGGTAACTGGCTATTGCCTGAGAGCCTTCAGCCGGTGAATGACATATGATTGTTTATAATATAAATTTTTTGAGCATGATATACCTACATAAAAATAAGTATTTTTCCTATAGTCTTAATCGCTGAGTTTTTACATATTATTTAGTGTGATGAAAATTAGACATAAGTAATAGTGATTTGACGAATTAGAGGTACAGAGGTGTTTTTGTTACTCTAGAATGTGCGCTAGCTCTCCCCAGGAGTTCCATTTTTCGCAGTTCTGTTTTATTTGTTTCAAATCTTCGAGGGGAGAGTGTTGGGGATATTTATAATGCGTTCTGATGTTGAGATGCCGTATTTGACAGAGGTCGAGAATATGGTCAGGTTTGTTTACGGAGAAGTTTGTTGTTAGTGCCTTGAGACTGTCCGCTATTGGTTTGATTTTAGGTGTTGATATGGGAATATGTTTGAGGGGTTGTGGAGCGGGTTGTCTGGGTGCCTTAGTTTGGTCATCTTCCTCAGGGTGGATTTTTCGGCTAGGCTGATCATTTTTTGGGTACCAGGTCTTGCGAATAGAAGTGGATGGGCGTACTCTAGAATTTCACGATAAATTACTTCATATATTTTGGTGATATGATGGATATTCAGGCCTTGGCTCTTGTAGGTGAGACAACGGAATTCCACGCCTCGTGCAATATATTTTTTCTCTACCCGATTAGCGTATGTTTTAGAGTTCAAGTAGTCGCCCATTTCTGCTCCGAGATATCTGTATGTGCACAAATAAAATCTGCTGCCAGATTTTATTTAACGAATAAATGGAGATGAATATTCAATGGGAAAGGTGATTTTAAAAAATTGAAAAATATCTCTTTATGAATTGTAATGGATTATAATTAATTGTAATTGAACAAAAATTTATTGTTTCATGGATTTTTCGTGGGAAATTATTGATTGCTATTTCAAAAATTCCTTGCAAATTGTATGGAGATGTGACTTCTAATAAAATTATTGACTATTACAATTTATTATAATCATAATAGATTATAATAAATTATTATAATTGAACTGAAATCTTCAGTTTCCCGGATTTGTTTTCTCAAATCACAGAATTACTATTCAAAAATTCCATGAAATCTTTTTGTATAAAAAAAATATATTAATTGTTATCATTCATCATAAATATTCTTAATAACCATGATTACAACATAATTGCTCATGATTGACGTGCACTTCAGTTTCCCCTCTGTTTTCCCTTCAGTTTTTCTCTGAGAAATTCCAAATGGTCACTTACCAGAGAATTCCGAAAATGACCACAAGTCAATTGAAATTTCAGTGAAAAATTATAAAGACGGATTGCATAAAATTTTGTTAAATCCAGAGGACTGAGGCCTTTTGCAACTCATCTCCGTGCATCACCGTTGACGTCTATTACGAGTCCCTGTGTCCGGATAGCGTTCGATTTATCGTAAATCAATTGGCGACATCGTACGACGGCTTGAAGGATCACCTGGACATCAACCTCGTACCCTACGGAAAAGCCATTGTAAGTGAAAGAATTTTTAGCATATATTGGAATATGGGTGTAAGCGAACAAATAAAACCGAAGACACAGTGAAATACTTTATCGATTATTCTTTATTAGCACGAGGAAGGCACGTCTTAACTTGAGGACCGTTGTCCAGAGACTAAAAACTATCCTATCTATAAAAGGTGATACACCAAAATTAATTTGGGCGAGAGTAAGATTGGCTAACTTCATGCGTAAGACTTTTCACTCGTAACCCTATTTCTCATTGGTCAATTGGCTATACGTCATCATCAACACCACGGAATCAAACGGTGCGCGGAGCGCGCGTTCGGTCTCGTTTATACTAAGGCCAGCATAAGTTTTTACTTCTCTGGGTACCCCCACTCCACGCAGTTACCACTTGTATACTAAAGTCACCATACGTTTTTACTTCTCTGGGTACCCCCACTCCACGTAGTTACCACTTGTAACCATGTCCCCCACTCCTAAAATCAATGTTAAAACTTATGCTGACTTCAGTATAACCATGTCCCCCACTCCTAAAATCAATGTTAAAACTTATGCTGACTTCAGTATAGAAGGGAAAAACTCTCTCAGGGAAAAGAATAAACCGAAAAACAATTTTATGACTCAAAGGGACACAGTCCTTTGTTTAAATTTCAGCATATGTTTAGGATTAAATCAGTCTCGGGTTCGGAGTACAACTGATCGTAAATTAGTCCCTTAGTAGAGCTGTTTTTCCAGAATGTTTAGGATGGTGTCAAGTAAATTTTGTAGGACAATGAAAGAGCTGTACTCAAATATTCCAACAGCATAACCTATCAAATCAATTCACCTTTTCATTCAATCCTTCAGCACCGACGGGACGAAAATGGAAAATGGCTCTTCAGCTGTCAACACGGAGCCGCTGAATGCCGAGGAAATAAAGCACAAGCCTGTGCTCTCAATTCAATCCTCAACTCATCCGACAACTTCGACAATAAACAATCTCTTGCAATAAGTTTAGTTGAATGCGTAATGAGCAGCAGTAATGCCGCGACAGCAGTTCCCCGGGTACAAGTCAAAATAAAAATCTAAATCGGATGTGACATTCAAAATAATTGAGTACTTTTTTAATTTAGTGCACTGTGAACGTGGGATTGAACCCTGACATGAGGAAAACCATAAATGACTGCGTGGAATCGACTGATGGAGATCGTCTTCTTGTAGCTCATGGAGATAAAACACATTCTCTCAATCCACCCCTGACATTCGTCCCCACTATTGTCCTTGATAACGTGAGTGTCTCTGTTTTGGCTTCTGAATGAAAACATTATTTTGATCGATTGTTTAATTCTCTCATTTTCATTGTGAATGGTCTTGGAAGTTGCAGGGAGAAAAACTTGAATCAAGTATATTTTATAGTCGATTCTGGGATATTCGATTTTTAATTGTAATATCGATGAGAAATTAATTTTTTGTTGGGGATATCATATAGACCGATTTATGCAGTTTCTTTCAAATCTTGGGAGCATGATATTTCTTCTTATTCTTCTTTTGAAAGTTGAAACATGAAAATGAAGTTCGCCCAAATCGAAATATCTCGAAACGTGTAGGACTAATTTCTCATTGGTTAACTCGAACCGCCAAATTCGAATTCGGCGCACGGAGTGCGCAGTAGGTCTCGTCCTTATAATGTGAGTTCAAACACAAAAATGAAGTTCGCCCGAGTCGAAATATCTCGAAACGCGTAGGACTAATTCCTAATTGGTCAACCCGAACCGCAAAATTCAAATTCGGTGCACGGAGTGCGCAGTAGGTCTCGTCCTTATTATGAGAGTTGAAACATAAAAATGAAGTTCGCCCGAATCGAAATATCTCGATACGCGTAGGACTAATTCTTCATTGGTCAACTCGAACCGCCAAATTCAAATTCGGCGCACGGAGTGCGCGATAGGTCCCGTAACAATAAAAATGGAGAGAGTGACTTGGAATTTGGTGTCCTTCTAGCTTTTATAGGACGAAATCGTCCGCGCATTTCATATGCACATTTGTTTGAAATTATAAAGACTTTTCGGATTAGTTTACCTTTTATTTTTATCATTTCTGGTTCAAAAGAAATTCGCTGCTAAATATTGCAAGAAAATTGTCAATTTTCATAAAAAGTGTTAACGACTGATAATCTCTTCATAGAACAATACGATATTTAAAAGATCAAAATTTGCTCGGCACGGGCATTCATTCGAAATCTTTGAGTGTCCCAGGACGTAGTAGTTTCGTCTTACATAGTAGACAAGAAATTCGTATAGCGTTCCATCTTACGATTTTACACTTGATCATATTCGAGATATTTCAAGATCCATTCCTTTGTTATTTTTATATTAGGATGGATAATTATAGGGTGAAGCAATCGATCCTGCGGTTCGCCATGTATTTCATTTGTTATAAAAATCCATTTTGTCAAATTTCAGGTGTATTCTTCTGCAAACCAGAACGCAGCTCTCGTCAACTTCAAAAAACTCATCTGCGGTCAAATCCCAGCTGGAGCAAAACCAGCCGTTTGCAGATATTATTAGATTAATCGAATATTTTATTTAAATTGTCCTTTGATTTGATTTCAATTCAAATCCCCCAAATCTATAAATTAATTGACATCTAGACGATGTTATTTTTCCTGTTCCATTCATTAAAATAAATTGACTCAAAAAACATATTGAAATGATTAATAAACAAAATTTATAGAAAATAGAAACAAAACAAATCGCTGACATTTAACAATTACCAATTAATAATTCCTGTATTGAAATAGTATTTTTCACGCCTAGGACGGAAAAAGGGAATCTGACGAATTCGACTTTATAGTCCGAGTCGGAAACGAGGATTATAACGCGCATGAGTCAGAATCACTTTTTTCGCCGTGGCTATGATGCTATTTTATGTCATTGTGGCCGCAATGACAAAGACAATTAAATAGGAGTTCAGAAATTTTTGTGAATGATTAGAATTTTTATTAATAAGAGGTAAAATTTCTTACAATTTAACTACAAAATAAGAAAAATTGGAGAATAATAAATTATAATATAAAATATGAGAATATAAATGAAATATTCAGCTGTTTTTGCCTTTCATTTCCCAAAATGCATGAACTAATTAATTAACTAATCCCTAAAATTAAACTCTCTTTTTCTTCACAATCAATTTGTCTAAAATAAATTGGATCATTAAAAAAATCGAAAAGATTGATAAACTGAATTTATTAAAATATAAACAAAATAAAACCGACGTGCGGTGGCAGTGCGGTTAGAGCGTAGGGGGTTGGCACATGAGATTCGTGGGTTCGATTCCCAGTCGGGGAAATGCCAGGGATTTTTTAGAGATAGAATTCGCTCTAACTTGCACAGGTTTCATCGTACGTGCGGTAGTCTCGAAAGAGACGACTGTACCTGGCCAAGGTTTTTTCCCATGAGGTTTTCCCTTCGGCCCTCGGTGTAATTGCGGTACAGGGGGAACTGGGGATGGGAAATGTAAAAGCCCGAAAGGGTATACATATATGGACAAGTTTAGTTTTTTAGTTTATAAAGAAAATAAATTGCTAACATTACATGCACAATTACGAATCGATAATTCCTGTATTGAAATGATAATTAAAGATGAGTTCATGAATTCATGGAATCATTTGAATTTTTCACAATAAGAGATGAAAATTTTTTGATAATTTTAATAAAAAATAGGGAAATACAAGGGAATAGTTAATTGTAATATAAAATGTGAGAATGTAATCTCGCTATTGCATAGAATAATGATAAAGTACAAGTGATATCTCATCCTGCCAGAAACGATGGAAGTGTCGATGGGGATATTACGTATTGGATAGATTATTAAAAATATATTGAAGGCCGAGGCCTTCCGGTCCCACAGTTACTTAAGGCAAAAATTCTCTGCGCAAATTGTTAATTAGTTGAAGTCCCTTGACCATTCCATATTCCAATGGCGGGAGTGAAGGAATTATTGTAAATAAATAAACGAGACAATTTTTCAATTCATAGCGAAGTGTAAAACAAAAATGTTAAGTTTCTCACAAATATCTCTAAAACAATGGGAGATACCGAAATCATTGTAATGACCTTTTTTGTACCTCTCGATTTTCTCTACAAGAAAGGTTCGGACAAGAATTTCATTATCTCTCTTACTTTCGTAGATATTTCCGAAAGAATAATTACTGAAGAGTTAAGCAAAAATTTTATCGAGGAGTTGGCATTTTTTTTTAACACCAGGCTAGGGATTCTTTTTGCCTAGTGGAGATTTGTCATAATTGCCTCGCAATTTGTTCATCAGGATAGTCCTGGCGATTTTGTCATCAGTTTCATCAAGACATCGCCGGAAATTTCCAAGGCCATGGCTGGAAGATCCAGAAGAGAACGAAATTCCTGGAGCCTCAGGAGGTGAAGTCTGCGACTCAAACGATTGCCGACAGATCTCATCTCTATTTTCGGAGAGCATGAACCTTTCTGCTGATCCTTGCAAGAACTTCTATGAATTCTCCTGCGGAAATTGGGTTGCGAAAAAAAAAATTCCACCGTATGAACCCAGTTGGAGTCACTACAGAGTTTTTTATTACACTCTCCAGCAGCGGATCCGAGGTAAAATCCTTGCAAACCAATCGACAATCCCTCAAATTAATAGAAATCAGTAATTAGTCATTGAGATAATTAATGCATCAAGGAATTCCTGAAAAAGAAAATAAATAAATTGAAAAATTTTAAATAAATGAATTATTCAGATACACTGCAGTCAGAGCCTAGTCCAGAGGATATTCTTCCGGTTCGACAAGCAAAAAAATGGTTTAGATCTTGCATGGATTCAGGTAATTACTAAATTTCCTAAATTATTCTTAATTAATTGTCCCGAGTAATTAGATTGCATTAAGCCCAAATTGGTAATTCATTTCGCAAAAGAGTGGTGATTCTTCCCGAAATTTCTCGGAATCTATGGGATATATCGAAATAGTTGAAATAACCTTTTTCCTAGAATTTTTTATGTCCTACAAAAAAGGTTCCGATGATAATTTTCGTATCTCCCATGGATCCGGAGAAATTTCCGATTGAAGAAGGGAATTCGCGGGGTTAATAAGTGGAGTTTATTAATGAGTTTGATTTTTATTTAATTGATTAATTGATTGAAAAAAAACAGAGACTCGGGAGGCGAGAGGAATACGACCTCTGGAATCCATCATCATGCAAAATGGGGGATGGCCAATGATCATGGATGCTGAGGAATGGAATGACGATGATCTTTCCTGGCAAGAAATAGAGGCGAATTACGCGCGTTTGATGGGAGAATTCACTTTTTACGACATAATACCGTCCAGACAAATGAGGGATGATGATTCCCAAGGGAAAATCCTAGTGAGTATTTCCCTCGACTATACTTTCATTGCCATATAAATTATCTGAATTATTCAGTTATTTAATTAATTATTCTATTGATTAAAAATACACCGTTAGTCATTTTTTCTGTGATTCCCATTTTCTTGTTGCTATTTTGGATCACGTATTCGATGATTACGTCATGAAAATGAAATGCGGGAGTATTTGGGAGGATAATTAACATTATTATGGATTTTTTTTTAACGGAGTTGCTATTTTTTTTAACGTTACACGCGAAATTCGATATATTATCTGCGATGGCTCTTGATCAAATCGAGAGAATTGGAAAATTCGGGAAATGTAAATGAACAATACCACCATTTCCAAAAGTTTCCTGATGTGTAGTTTACAACCTACACTGAGAGAAATATTCAATAAAAATTACGTGTATTTTCCGTAATTCTGGAGCGAAATGTGGTTGGCGGAAATTTTACGGAACTGCCACGTAATTTTTATCTAAAGTCACGGAATTTTTTCGCGGTGTTCCGTAATTTTTATCTGAATTATCGGTGAAAAATAGAGATACCGTCACTTAAATTTTTCGAATCAACTCCGTAATCGGTAAGTGAACTGAAAGTTCCGTAATTTTTACTAAATATTTCTCTCCGTGTAGGTTTCACGTATGAACTTACCAACTTCATGTCGCTTTATCTTCTATGATGAATGATTTGTAGATGTACGCGACTTCTCACCCCTCCCTTCTAAAGATATGGATTTATAAATTTATAATCCTAATCATGAAAGTAGAAACACAACAATGAAGTTCGTCAGAATCGAAATATCTCGAAACGCGCGTAGGACTAATTTCTTATTGGTCGAGTCGAACCGCCAAAATCAAATTCGGCGCACGGAATGCGCAGTAGGTCTCGTCCTTATTATGAAAGTATAGAAACACAAAAATGGAGTTCGTCAGAGTCAAAATATCTCGAAACGCGTAGGGCTAATTTCTTATAGGTCGAGTCGAACCGCCAAATTCGAATTCGGCGCACGGAATGCGCAGTAGGTCTCGTCCTTATTATGAAAGTAGAAACACAAAAATGAAGTTGGCCTGAGTCGAAATATCTCGAAACGCGTAGGATTCATTCCTCATTGGTCAACTCGAACCGCCGAATTCAAACTCGGCACATGGAGTGCGCCGCAGGCCCCATATTAATAATATGACTGGAGATGTATAATTTTTATAAATGTTAAAAATTCATAAATTCATTTTGAAAATTAATCGTTGTTATCACGTGTTTATCAACTATCAGATACTCACACTGGTGATTGATACACACGTGAAAACTCAACAATTAATTTTCTAAATTCACTTTTTTTTCGAATCACTTTTCAATCGTAAACTTCCGCCAAAAAAGTATTAGAGTTCTTTGTTTGGAAGGTAATGGTGAACACTATAGGAATCAGTACAGCTTCCAAGGCCCAATATTGAGGGCCTTATTCTCCCCATTACCGACATTCGGTTTTCAGCCTAAAGACCAGTAAAATAATGGGACCTTTGTAGGTTCGTCCCAGAGTCTCTGGGACCTTTGTTTAATTAGTCGAGTTTCGAAGCTCGAAGTGTGTGGATGTCTTCCTAGCAATAATTTGTGATAAAGAAAAATTTCTACTGAACTACAATAATTTTCATTAAAAATATTACTCATTTCTCACCGACGGTAGTGGCCGTGCGGTTAGAGTGCTGGACTAGCATGCCAAGGATCCGGGTTCGATCCCGGGCACCGGCGGTCAAAAATATATAGCGCTGATCTCACGGTTTCACTGCCGAGCGGGAGTCCTGTCAAAAAGGACGACTGTACCAGGGCAGGTTTTTCCCTCAGATGAGGTTTTCCCTCCCTTTCAGCAAATGCGGTACTGGGGGTTGGGGGGTGGGAAGGGAACAAATCGGAAAAACCCGAAAGGGTATACGAGTGAAAGAAAATATACTCATTTCTCATAATTTCAGATTGCAACTCCTGATATACCACTGATGAAAAATATCCCCGTAGAAAACCGGAATTATACAGCAGGCGCTATTTATGAACAAACCCTTCGAAGTGTCGTGCAATTGTTCATCGATCACACGAAAGCTGACGTTTCAGAGGAGCAGTTGGAAAATGACATCACCAATCTCTTAAAATTCGAGAAGTCAATCTCTGAGGTACATAATTCTCGCCGAATGGATGCTCATAAATTCATTAAGATTCATCAATAAATTCGTTCAATAAAATCTGAATTATATTTCCTCTCAGGCATTCAAGGGTAAACCCTGGAAATCAAAAGACACGGCGGGTGAGGAGGATCTAGATGATGACTCTTCCCTCGATTCTCTTGTCGAATGGTGGAATGCAAGAGCTAAATCAATGAAAGAACCCGAAGCTCAGGTAGTAATTTCATCAATTAATTCATGAATTATTGTAAATTAAATTATATCGCCAACAATTTAATTGGATGATTCAATCTTTCATTTATTGTTAACAATTAAACTTTAGTTAAAGACTCGATATAATGTAAGCTAGGTTGTTAATGTCCAATGTTGCTTGCTCGAGACTTCATTAAAGAGTCTGAGTGGTCACCAGTTCGTCCAGGGTGTGAGGTCAGCCCCACAGATAAGGCCCTTTTTCTCTGTGGGGCTGATCCACGTGTGGGGCTGTTTCGGTCATAAGTCTTCCCATTATTATCCATATATTTATATTTATATTTATATATTTATATTCATTAGATCGACTGGAGAAGTGTTATTCAACAATTCTTTGATATCACTAATACGAAAATTAATGGCGACGTAACAATTTCGATAAGTGAAAAACGATATTTCCTTTTGCTGCGGAGAATATTACGATCCACGGATAAAAGAACAATAGGTAATAAAATAAAAATTTATTTATCATTTATTTATTGTAACCTTAATTGATTTGTAATAGAAAAAATTAAAAATCGTATTCAAACTTTTTTCTGTCATAAGGGATCCCCTTAAATATTTAGTAATAATAATTATCATGCAAATAGTAGTTATTATAATTATTAAAAATTGGAGAATCCCTGATAATGACAAAAAACTAGAATTACTTTAAATAATTTAAAATAATACTTTTAAAAAATAGGGATTATTTGACGAAAATTAGGAATAGAACAGAATTCTTTCAATTTTTCAAAATAATTTATCAGTTATTGAAGTTTTTGAACTGTCAATTTCCAAAATTTGGGAACGACTCAATGGAAATTAAAAATATTTTTATTTTTACAGTTAACTACATCCACTGGAAATTCGTGAGTCGCTACATGGGGTACACAACAAAAAAACTAGAGGAAATAATTTTCAATTTGGCTAAAAATGAAATCGGAATTACTGCAAGGCCTCCAAAGTATGTTCCTCTATTTTTTAAAATTACAATTGAGATTCTCGATTTCTGTGAATTGAATGGAATTGGGTTGCAGATGGTTCGAGTGTGTGGAGAAAATGGAAATGACGAACGCAGCAGCATATGCTTTTGTGAATAAATATTATCAAGAGAAAACGGCAAAAGCTGTAAATATTCCATTTATACCAATATTTATTTATACCATCACTCGATACAACTATTTATAATTGTTATCAACCCTCAGGCAACCGAAATGATGAAAAATATAAAAGCAGAGCTGAAGCATCAAATAAAGAGCGCGGAATGGTTGACTCCAGAGGCAAGAGAATCTGCACTAGAAAAACTCGAGAATATGAAGACTCTGATGGGATTTCCGGATTGGTACAAAAATACAACAGCTGTTGTTAATTACTACAAGGGGGTGAGTTAGCAATTAGTGTTGCTCTGGGAAAATTGTTAATGATAATTAATTACCTGCAGCTGACAATCGGCAATGAGCTCTTAGACAACGTTTTGAGCTACGACAGGTACGAGAAAAAATTGGCGATCCGCAAATTTCTAGGGTATAAAGATCCAGACACGTGAGTAAAATTATTAAAATCATATTTTACTCGATTTTTAGAATTGAGTGATTGATTTTTTTGCAGCTGGCATCTAAATGCCCTCGCCCTCAACGCTGTGTACCGATTTGATATAAATACTTTGGGTAAATATATTTACTATAGTAATTGTTTAAATAATTTTGAGATTTGGTTATTTAATTTATTTTTTTATATGAGACCGAGGAATCTATTGGGATTATATTGAATCCAAAGATTTTTTGAAGGTGAAAGAACGATTTGAGATTTTAGCTGGATTCGATCAACTTTTTTGGAAAGGGGAAGCAATACCAACTAAATTTTTGATAAAATTTATTCGATACCTTGACTAGCCACTAACCAACAAATCGGGCGCAACTAGTTGAAGATGGAGACCAGATCATACATGATCTTTGTGGTGTTCATAGCAGCTGCATCCCCCTGGTGACCCTGGGTAGCCCTGAACGCTGTGGTATCGTTCTTTGTTATGAAAGTACAATCACAAAAATGAAGTTCTAGGACTAATTTCTCATTAGTCAACTCGAACCGCCGATTTCAAATCCGGCGCACGGAGTGCGCGATAGGTATCGTCCTTATTATGAAAGTAGAAAGACAAAAATGAAGTTCGCCCGAGTCGAAGTATCTCGGAACGCGTAGGACTAATTCCTCATTGGTCAACTCGAACCGTCAAATTCAAATCCGGCGCACGGAGTGCACGGATGTTCTTCGCCCATATATAGCCACAATTCAAATGTTTTAGATTTTTTGGCAAATTATTGATCAGATTAATGTATAATCGACAATTAACCGACGGTAGTGGCCGTGCGGTTAGAGTGCTAGACTAGCATGCCAACGATCCGGGTTCGATCCCGGGCACCGGCGGTCAAAATTTATAGTGCTCTAATCTCACAGTTTCACTGTCGACCGGTAGTCCTGTCAAAAGGACGACTGTACCAGGGCAGGTTTTTCCCCTCGAATGAGGTTTTTCCCTCCCTCCGGCAAATGCGGTACAGGAGGTTGGGAGGTGGGAAGGGAACAAATCGTAAAGACCCGAAAGGGTATACGAGAGGAAAAGTATAATCGACAATTGCCCGAGGTTATCTGGTAGAAGAAATTTAACCATATGCTATATGCGTATGGTTAAATATCGGTTTTTCGCGTTTTAGAACATTCTATAGATAAATTGTAATTGAAATTACAATTTATCAATTCGGAAGCAAAAATAGAACGTTTTTGTTTAATTGAATATTTCACATTTATTATTATTTGCTTTTTATTCCGTAGATGTACCGGCAGCTGATTTTCAACCTCCGATTTTCGGTCACAACGTACCCGAGTGAGTAATCATATCAAGAAATTTAATTGAATAATTTGTACTGTTATCTTCAAAAAAAGGCGACACAAAAAATGGAATATCTCATATCTTAATTTTTTATTGAGTTGTCGTGCGCACAATTTTTTTAACGAAATAACGGATAAGCGGCAATATTTCCAAAATATTGTGTTGTCCCCTCAGTGGGGGATCCTTATTATGCAAGTAAAAACACAAAAATGAAGTTCGCCCGAGTCGAAATATCTCGTAACGCGTAGGACTAATTCCTCATTGGGTAATTCGAACCGCCAAATTCAAATTCGACGCATGAAGTGCGCAGTAGATCTTGTCCTTAATATGAAATTAGAACCACAAAAACAATTTCGCCCGAATCGAAATACCTCGAACCGTGTAGGCCCAAAATGACAAAAACTGTTTTTGTAAAAAAAAACTGAGCCAAGTAAAAGTTTCGCTCAATTGATTCCGTAAGAAACTCGTATTTTGCCAAAATATGGCGTTCCTAGAAATAAAAAAAAAACTCGGAAAATGTAGATGAAAACACCAAGAATAGTGCTACGACTCGATTAGAAGGATTCAATAATGAAAATAAAAAAATCAGTAGAGGAAGGACCAACTTGGCGCGGTTTTTCCCAAGAACTAGAGTTAGAGCCAAAGATTATCTTCGGTCCCTTTTAATTATGACCCAAATTTCATTTTAGCATTATCCTGTAAATAAAACCACAGCAAGTAAATAAGTAATCCCACCAATAGTTTATAGATATTTAACTATAAAAGTTTATTACCTTCACTATGTGATCTAAGCGATTACAATGATTACGACTAACACACGTCGGAACTCGGTTTGAATCTGCCCTCTACATTCACTCAAATCACATCACATCTTAAATTACATTTATTGCATACCCAAGCAATAGATGCAAAAAAATATAACTTTCTTGCGTTTTGTCATTATTCAATGCCTCACAAAGTTTCGTAATGGTGCGATGACTTTCACGCATTTTTGCCACAGTTTCGTGATTCTTTCCAAAAATTTAGAAAAAACACGGATAAATGTTCGCATCACTTTGAAAATTTGTGACTCATTGAATAATGGCAAAAAGCAAAAACGTTATATTTTTTCACGTTTATCCGATAGTCACTTTGCTAGAACAATGAAAAACCATCAATTTTGGCTACATATGGGTGTCTTCTTTAAATATTTAATTATTTATATGTCATTACTTGGTCAAGATAATCCAGTTGCGCTGATAATGCTGTATGTCCACATATTCAACAATAACGCAATTGATCAAATCTGTATTATGAGATGGTTGATCTAGAAGGAGTCCATCAAGATGAATATTTTCGAAAAAAAATTGAATTCCTGTCATTATTGATGCGGCAATGAAGAAGAGCGAAATTTAAACAAATGGTTATATATCAGGAACGACTGGAACGTTCGAGCTGAAACAATAAATGCAGTGAAATGAACTGAGACTCATTCAAAGTAATCATAAGCTAACATTTTTAATGTTTATCTGTCAATTTCAAAAGTATTTATATTGAATTTTCTAAAAGTTAATGATGGAAAATCTAAATCTCCACACACATATTTACAGATAGCACCTTAAGGTTGTTGTCGCGTAGAATTTTTTTTCGACAATTTTCGTTAAAAATTTTATGGTGAATAGTTTGAAAAATTAGCAACAAAATGAGCCTTTTTCGTTTGCAATTGACCGTTTTGAACTTGAGATATAAATTTTTGAAATTCGAGTGATTTAACACGTGTTTAAATGGAGTTTTGCCGATTAGAATTTTTTAAAAATCAACGGCTCGACAGTTTCAGAAATAAAAAAAAACGTGGAATATACATCGTGGGAGGAAATACAGAAAAAAAAATCAAATCGATTGACCGTTTGGTTTACGGAATATAATTATCGGAAATTCATAAATTTATATAATTGAAAATAGTTAATATGGAAAATATATAGTTATGCTTTAGCTATCCATGCACAATGCAATCAATCAAGTGAGACTATATACCGCTAAAAGATTGTGTTCTAAACTGGCCCGTTTTACAGCGGATAAACTTTTTACAGAGACTGTCGCGCGACAACCACCTTAAAAGCATAATTTCGTCACATTTCATAACATTCCGAATGATTCGCAATCAAAATTTGAAAATCGAAAGATCAACTAAAGACAATTCTTTCTATGGGAAGTAAAAACATGTTCTAGTGAAGTTTTGGTAGAAGTCGATTTAAAGATTCTGAGTGTTTTTACATTGGAATTTTCAAATTGCTCATTCCTTTTTGGATATATTATTTCAGTTATTTGTGCCAGTCTCAAGACGATTTGAATCTTTTCAGTTACGTGAATTACGGGATTGCTGGAGGTGTTGTTGGACACGAGATGGGTCACGGTTTTGACGACACGGGTAAGCACTTCAGGGTTTGAAATAAAATATTTTTTCCATTCTTCTTCCGAATGGAGTTTTTTCCTAAATTAAATTCTTCTCTCTTCTGACAATTGATTCCATCACGTCTCACCCTCTGAATAAAAACAGAACTTTAAGAATCATGAAAAGAACAAAAATAAAAAAGAAAATTTTGAGTCTAATCCTTAATCCTTTGAACTCTGTTTTTCATTCTCCAGAATTCTCATTCCATTTTTAAAAATTACTCCAGGAGTCAAGAAGGCAGCGAATGCCAAAGAGCCGCTGCTAGATGAAGCGATGTTGAAGATGTACTTCCAGAGAGCTCAATGCATCGTCGATCAGTACGATAACTATTACAAAGGGCAGACACTCCCTCCGGTGGTGCAATTTCATTTAAAAAGGGAAAATAAACTTTTATCAGGGGAACCTTCAATGAGTTGGCTGACCCTAGGTGAAAATATAGCAGACATCACAGGTCTTCAATCTGTCGTTAATGCCTACAAGAAAATGAGAATGATTAAAAAACCAAATGGAGAGCTTAAACTCCCTGGGTTTGAAAAATTCACTGACGAGCAGATGTTCTTCATATCTCTTGGAGGGGTTTGTATTTATTATTTTAAAAATTCCACTTCTCATGATTCATTCTGCAATCATAGAAAATAAATTCAGCTAACAACGGGAAAGAATAGGTCCCTCAACAAATTGGTAGCTCTGCTGATGCCTCAAGTGTTCCCTATGATTTTTTTAATAATAAACTCTAATATAATTATTGGTTGATGCTAGACTATTCTTTTTACGGAAAAAGTCATCTATTTCACAACATATATTTAGATTGCCGAAAAAATAGAATCCTTTCACCACTGGAACCCATCCTATTCTAAAAGGAACACGCTTGACACAATCGATTATCTCGAAAATCTCGAAATCATGAAGCCATGCTTCCTTATTGGTCCGCCTAAAGTAGCGCGAGATTACAAAGTCGTAACTCTCTTACTGAAATCGTTTCATACCGGCGCACTATACCGATATGAGTCGAACGTCGAACGTTGAGGCAGACCCGGGTTAGGTAGATGACTAGAGAAGCAAGACCAGACACTGAGAAAAGAAAATTCATTAGCCAATAATATTTACCAACCACAAGCTAATATATTTGGCATTAGCAAATTCTATGGAGTATTTACGCAACGATTGCCAGATTTAATGGTGGGAAGAAAATATTTTTATTATAAATGTCCAGTACTTCCTCTCCGCCCCCTCCCTCTTAGAAATTGACCTTGACTTCCACTTGAGTCGATAGTTTTTCACCCTCTGGTTCTAAATCTGCGAACCGTTTTTAGGCGAAACAAATAGTTTCCTTCATACGTTGAAATTTATATACCGCTCTTTGCATTACCCAGGGCCACGACGAGGACGTAGCGGTTATTGGCCCCAACGACAACACATGTCGGTGCGTTTAAAGACCAGGGACAACCCAAAGAGTAATAATATTGTTTGCTCACACAGAAGCAGTGCCATTCACCAAGGAGACTCTTAATCACCTTTTGCGTTAACTTAGACGATTGATATCGGTGTAAACACGCGGCTGTCCTTCCTGCAGCGATTTTGTAATTAAATTAAGAATTTGAAATGTTTGTTGATATTTGTATCAGCATATCTGAAAATAGACTCCTGGCGAAGGGCATATTCTAGAGTCTAGACTCAGTTTGGTGTTACGCTGTGATTATCGTCTCTTAGTATCAAGTCCAATCCTTCATGTAAACATGGGGATTAGCTCAATTTTAGTTTTATAATTATTGGGGGAACTATTCCAGACACTTATTATTCAGAAAATCATACAGAACACTTCAAGCATCAATAGAGCTTCCAATTTGTTGAGGGATATATTCTTTCGGACTACCATTGTGCTATTTATTCCATGAATGGTCAATTAAATTTAATCACGAAAAGTAACTGTTCATTTATAATTACTGAAATAATGATTTCTTTCGTTTATTCATAAATAAAAATCGAAGAGGGAAATTTAATGAATGAATTGTGCATAAAAATTGAATGAATCATCAATAATTTTCTGTGATTTTGAGTTATAAATTAATTATGGGAATTGTTATTTTTTTAATTGACAATTGACAATTATTTTTGTGATTTGAATTGTTTTCAGACATATTGCGACGTATCAACTCCGCAATTCGACAAACTGAAGGCAGAGGCTTTCGATACCCATAGTCCAGCGGAATTCCGAGTGATCGGAAGTGTCTCTAATACTCAGGAATTCGCAAATGTCTTCAATTGCCCCAAAGGAAGTCCCATGAATCCTGAAAATAAATGCACCATTTGGCTGAAGCCTGGAGTTGCGCCAAAACTGAAATCAAAACGTTCCTCGAGACATCATTGGTTTGACAACAGGAACTTCTGAATATTTCCCAGACTGTAAAAAAATCAACGCCCAAAAATTCGGAATGAATTCCTGAATTCTGTCTGATTATCCCATAAAAATTGAATGAATTCATAGAAATTTCAGTCAATAGTAAATTTGAGAATTGTTTCTGAATTCTATCGATTGACATTTTTTCTAAACCTATCATAATCACGAGATATAATAAATACTACCGACTAAATAAACACTTGATTGAGCACATGGAATTAATTATTCACCCCGTCCCTGTCCTCGGGGGAAATTAAAATTCGTCGCATAACGGAATTAATCCACAAAACTGTTGACGATTCGGTTTTTTTTTTTCATCAAAACATGAAAAATATTATCGAAACCGTTAACTGGACTCTACCCACTCTTCTACGAATTGTCCCCAGTTTTTTCCACGCGTTTTAGTATAAAATCGGAAGACCTCCAACGAGAGTTCAGTCCTCTTTTTTTCTCCGTGATCCAAAAGTAATGAAAAACAATGTTGTATCTCATTAATATAATTATAATCTCTGCCCTCGCGGTTTTAACACCGGTAAGTGACTCTGCATTAAATTTTTGTGGTGACCACTCTAAATACCGCAGCGATAAAATATTACATCACGATATTACAGTTTTTAATCTTATGATGAAAAATATTATTAATAATATTTCACCGTCAACCAATGGCATTAGCCTAATTGTTCAGGTATAATATAGTCTCTAATGATATAGACTTTGACTCTTTGTTATAACTTAAACGGTCTTGATATATCAGGATGTGTAATCAACCTTTCGGCCATTTTACGCCCTGCTTAGCGCATCCGTCTAGTCGATGGTGTCGATGATCTGTGACCTACGGGCTAACTCGTAGAGCCCATCGATCCCGTCCCTATCGACGTGTAATTCTTGCATGCATGGGGTCCCGAGGATTTTCCATCGAATTTCGTCTAGACCACTGTATCTTAGAATGAGATGTTCAGGATCTTCCTCCGTCAACCCAATGATATAGAGTAATTATAATAAATATAAACATAGTACAGAGGAAATTAATTCCTCATATTTTTCAAACTAGTTCTTACTATTGTTTATACTATGAAGAGATCGTTGACCGGAATTAAAAAAAGATTAAAAAACAAAGTGATTAAGGCGTCAGAGTGATGTGCGGAGAGTAATGAGTTCGACCCTCACTGGTACCAATTTTTAACGTTTTTAATTTTTTGGTTTCATTCTCGAGTACTCGGTAAAGAGATGTGACTGTATCTGACCAAAGATTTTTTTCCTCTAGTGAAATTTTACTTTGGCAGATATAGGAATGCAATACAGGGGATGGAGAAGTGGGATGGGTGGGACTCGTAAAAATTATACAGTGAGAAAAAAAATGTCTTAACATTATTAATATTAATGTAGTAATATCAGATTAACGTCATTTATATATTCATGATCAAATTTTAAGTGGCACAGAATACAAATCAGAGATGAATGATGTATTACAGTCTTCGGTTTTTGTTTTATATGTAGTCTCTTGTCCTTGCATAGTCTCTCTCTTTCCCTCAAGTGAAAGTACATAAACATTCTTTCCAATTATTCAATATGTATAAATAATAGAAATTCTGAAAATCACAAAAAAAAATAATTGTAGCAGGAATTACATCATTTACGTGCAAAGAAAAAAATTAAAAAGTAAAATAAAATTCAAAAAATAAATAGAGTGGATTGTTTCTGGATTTTGAGTATGAAACGGACAATTTCTTGCGCCAAGTCCAAAGTATTTGATGTAATTTAAAATCGAATTAGATGAAACCGATCTAGATACTCAACTCTAGGATGTTTTTTCTCAGTGTTCCGTAAAGATATCACACATTCAATCATAATTCAAAGGTTTATTTATTTTTTATATTGTCCTACCGCAATATTTTTATTTTTATAGTGATAACTTTTATCGATTATTTAAAGAATATTATTTAATAAGTCAAATATAATAAAAATATGATTCAAGCTTCATAAATTATGCGATAAGAATATACCGACAATATATAAACGATGATGTGTGAGGGGGGGGGGGGGGGGGGGGGGGGGGGGGGTGGGGGGGGGGGGGGGTCGAGGGAGTGTGTTCGGAGGTCAAGGCCCAAAAGTCTAATTGTCCTCTGACTCTCTACTCACTCTGTGGGGTCCTTGTTTTGGGCCTGACGTACTAGGGGGTGTTTCACACCATCGGCTCTTCCCATCATGCCTCGGTCTTCCCGTGTCTCCGATTCAACGAACAGTTTTCCCCCTTTATTTTAGACATTTTTTCGTTTTATGATATTTTTAAATGGGTCCTAGGCGTTATTTCCCTAAACAAAAATCTTCCAGAAAAATCTCACCAAAAATCTCCCAAAAATTTATTTATTTTGATTAAAATTTTCGGTTAAACGAAATTGGATAATAGAAATGTCGATATTTTTATTCCATTATGAACCCGAATATTGTGTATTCGCAATGCAAAAGTCAGACCACAAGAAATAATGAATTCATGAAGAAATAGACCACAGAAAAAAAAAATAATTTTCCTATTGTCTTACTATAAAAAGGACAGTCCTCTTATCCTATCTTCCTGTCATAAAAACGACAAACATCGAGACTATCGATATCTCGAAACTCTATCACACTTATTCCTCATTGGTTCAGTCATCTGACGCGGCTAATTTGAATTCAGAACTCATTTAATTTTTAAATTTTCAATTATGGTTTTTGTAATTAGAACGCGCTATAGGGCGCGTTTGTTTCCGTTCTAGTACAAAAAGGACAAGCATCGAGACTATCGATATCTCGAAACTCTATCACACTTATTCCTCATTGGTTCACTCCTCTGAGGCGGTTAATTT